TAACATGCATGATAACATGCCCATGCCCTCAAATCTAAGTCAAACCAGTGTAATTTATTTTGTGACAAACGAGGCAATTAATGGCAATGATACATTTTTAGCTAACTTACCAATGTGGCTAACATCTGCAATATACATTTTGTCAATAATTATTTATATTACTGTACTATTAAATGTTAATAAAATATAAAAAAAATTATATTTTATAAAACAAAAAAGTTGTTTGAGATGATGCTTAATTTTATTTAATACGAATTATTGTCATTTATTTTGTTTATTGTTCTCATTGTTTAAAAGTTTTTGTTATGGTTCTGGTGTGAAATAAAGCACAATAATTACATTTAAGACTGTTTCCCTTTTTTTAAGAAAAGTATCGAAAAAGAATCGGAATCGCAATTCTTGACTTGGTATAGGTATCGAAACCAACATGTTGGTATCGTGACAACACTAGTTTGAGTCAGAATGCAATACATACTTTTACAAATACAATATCTCATGATAACAAAAGTACTGTAGTTCATGTTAAAAAAAAAGGAGATCAAATAGTGGGGATACAATTATTTCACAGATACAGGACAGCAAATCATAACGATCTCATTTAGGAATGGAAAATATATCAATGTATTACACGGCTTAGTGAATTCTCGTTTCTGATAGGTCAATTTGGACATTCTAGACTCAGGTTGATAATTCTCGCTAAAAGACCGTTGCTAAGAAGGACTATGTGCAGTCATATCAATCCGCATGAAAAAGCCCCGCAACTTTAACGCCAGCTTTAGACAAATAACATTGCTCCCTCAGAAAACACCATGAAATACTTTTTGAGTAATTATTTTTCATATTTGTGCAGACAACGAAACTTTGGGTTCATGATGGCTAAACTGTCACCAGTGAAGAAAAGAAAGTGGTTAAAAAACAGAGCTCTGGACTTCAGAAAAATCAACAGAAGAAGACAGACAGGAAGTACACATGATATAGCATGCTGTATATAAATATGGTATGAGCTCCGACATTGTTTTAAGACTGGTTAATGGAAAAGAAAATGTGAACAGACTTGGACAGTTACAGAAAACCTTGATGCTGCCGTCATTTTAAGTTACATTGCTGTCGCTGATCTCCAGCCATTGGTACGCAGTGCAATAAGAAATAAAATGTCTTGGCGGAAGCAACACGATCATTTTAAAAATCAACCAAATAATTTTTGAATCAATATTGTGAATACAAACAAGGGTTTATTGTAGCCATGAAATAAGCTGGATAATGTGCATCAAGGCGCTCATATATGAAAAACCATGAAGGTGTATCCCTTACATAACATTGAGATCGTTATGAATCTAGATATTGTCTTGGGTATTATGCACACCGTAATATTTGCAAGTGATGTTTTTCCTTAGTTTTTATGTTATTTTCCATTAACCGCATGGTCATTAAATCCACATTGCTGATCACTCTTTATAATATAAAGGCATCAATGGTCAACCCTACAATATTGTCTCAACATATATCGATATTGAGGTATTTGTTCGGAGATATCTGGATTCTGGATTTTCTTCATATCGCCCAGCATACCTCAACTTGAAGCCAAACAAAAAATCTTTATAAAAGGTTTGTAAACATCACTCTTTTCAGTCACAATAACATTGCTCCCCCATTGTTCTCCATTTCCCTGGATACATCAGATAAGTTTCCAACATTGTTTCCTGGCAACAATGGTAAACACCTACACTTTGTTCAGGAAGACATTATGTAAACGTACCATGGATGGGAACATCACCAACAAGTGTGAAAGCAGAACCTTTAGGCGCTTTCACACCGGAGTACTACAAAAGTAAAAAAGGCCTGAATCTGAATCACTTAAGCGTATTCGACTTATCAAAGTGTTTTGTATCACTGCAACACTGCAAAGCCAGCTGCAGGAAACAAGCTTGGCGGGAGCAACCATGAATCAAGGCATCATGCCACATTTAGTCGGCAGCACATTGAACACCCTAAGGTGAAAAGCAAAACAGAAATCAGCAGAAATAAATTACTTAAATATGGAAAACACCTTCTGTAGCACACACATGCCAAGAGATGCCTTCACAAGTACGGGAAACCACAGCAGGTGGAGAGGGGGAACAGAATGAAACAAATGCAGAAATCAGCAGCGGCAGTTGCAAAGACAAATGTTAAGTAATTCCTCATTTCAATTTGTCATATAATTAGTGTTTGTCTTTAGGAAGTGGAAAATCAAGTCAGCAAGCAGGGAACAGGTGTTGGCAAGCGGGCTGATAGATCATAGATGACCCCGATGTGACACACGTGGATTTCAGTCTCAGATGTCCTTCCTTAAAGGTGAGGTGAGGTGAAGGAAGAGGAGGAGGAAGAGCAAGATGAACAAGCAACATAAGGCAAGACAGAAGTGAGAAGAAGAGCAGTGGAGAGAAAAAGAAGGACAGTGGAGCAGAGAAGAAGGGTGCTGCTGGGAGACTAGCTGATAAATGAAAATGAAAGCGACTTCAAAATAGTTAGAAATCTTATGGGAAGAAACTACTTTACATGGGGATGTCCTGATAAGTTAGGAGGAAAGGCTGGTCCAATCTATTCTTGTCCTGACCCATCATGGTACCCGTGCTCTGTGAGCCTGAAACCCTACCCCCTCCCCCTTCTATAAAGGGCGGGGGTTGACGTAAGCAGCTTGTGTTGCAATGTTTTAGTAACCGGGGTCATAGCAGACACAATAATCTGCGGCGAATCGGTGATCATCATCATCATCTCTCTGTATCTAAGCCTGTTTAACATAGAGAGAACATATGGCGCGCTGACAGAGTTTGAATAACCTCTGCTTAGGAGGTTAGGTCTTTGGCTGTTTATTTGTTTGTCTGTCAGCAGGATTAAAGAAAAAACTACATTCACCACAAACCTTGGTTTGCGGGTGTAGCATGGGCTGAAGATGAACCCATTACATTTGGGAATTGATCTGAATGACGATGGGAAAATGCAAATGATGTTTTGTTTCTGTTAGCATTGCGAGAGATGGCGTATGTGCTGAATTTGTGTCAGAATACATCAGAAAAATGAGTTCACTACTGGGGAAAAATGTATTTTACATCCCCGCAAGTCATAAACAACTTAGACACATATCTACGTGTTTTCAAATGTTTTAAACTTCTACTTCTTGGTGTCAGTGTTGTGTCATGCTCATGTTCAGGTTTAATATTGTAGTCTGTGTCTCTACTGTGACATGTCTCCATGATTTAATGTTCAAAAAGCTCTTTATTTTTCTCATACTGCCTGTGCTGCAGCACCTCTTTTCACCCTCTGTCTGAAACCAGAGCCCAGCCAGCTCTGTAGTGATTGGTCAACCGCTAAGATATGTCCCACAATAGAAGCACGAGTGTTAGGTAGTGATGTCACTATGTTCCCGAAGTAAAAAAAGGAATCGAGGTGTTTCAGGCATGAGGGGGCGTTTGTGGGAGAGAACATTTGGAATTTTAACCTTTACAGACCATTTACATGCACTAAAACCTAAATAACACACTACAGGAAAGGGAAATCCAAAAAAGCATAACAGGGCCTCTTTAAAGCTCATGAACATAGTTGGAATAATGACTTTCTGACTAGGGCTATGGAGCCATCTGAGGAGCACATGGCAGTGGCGATGGTCTGCGCTCTGCATCTGCCATTCTATTTTTTATTTTTTTTAAAATACTATATGTAGAAATATTGAGCACAGATCGATATAGAGCTTATGATACCATCCACCCTCAGAGAAAACGAGCAATCTACCACAAGTGAAATGATAACAATGAGCGTGGGCCCTCGTGGTGAGTAATACAACAGTTCTTTGCTGAGAATCACACACGCCAAAGATACAGATGACATGTCCACACTCAGAATCTTCCATCTCTCAGTTACAAGTCACTTTAAAAGAATTGCCACTGACAGTGACACAAGTGGACAAACAATCCTGTTCTGATTTATAAAGAAACATATCCCTCTTTAAAAACCCATCAACATGATTATAATTTATGTCTTAAATAACACACTCTGCTCTGCATAAAGAGTATTACAAGACTCCGTCACCCCATGTCCCTCTACGGGCTGTAATCTCATACAAATTGTACTTGGATTGAATTTCTGTCAGTCCATTTGCAAAAGCAATCAACTGGAGCGTCCGTGAAAAAAAAAAACACAATTACCCATAAGAGACGGCACCTTTTAAAGAGTGACCCTGAGAATAACCTTTGACAGGCTCTCTCCCTCTGCACTCGCAAAAATATGTATACACAATATTTAAATCGGATGCTTAGTCTCAGCTTTCTCCTTCCCATCTATATTCACTTCCTCCTTCCCGCCACACACCCACACCCACACCCACACCCACACCCACACCCACACACACACACACACACACACACACACACACACACACACACACACACACACACCACACACACACACACACACACACACACACACACACACACACACCACACACACACACACACACACACACACACACACACACACACACACACACACACACACACACACACACACACACACACGTCCCCAGAACAACCTAATCTTGTGTGATACAGAACAGCAACTACTGTAATACATCCACAGGCCATTTCTGCTTTGACTTGCATTTTCTTACACATCTTAATATCCATGACACAATGTCATTACCCATCGGGCTTTAACACAGCCAGTGTAGAGCAGCATCTGTTTTAAGGAGCCTAAGGTAACTAATACATAAAGAATAAGGCAAGTGAATATGCATTTAAATATGTGGCTCTCAGAGGTAAGGCATTTTGAAAACAGCAGCCTTGCCAGTTAAGCTTCTCCAATGGCCCCCTCTTTTGGCAAGGAGTGGGAGTTGAAGCAATAAACTGCTGACAGAGCAGTGGCACGCTGTTGTTTACTACCCTCAAATGATTGTAATTACTAGATAAATGGCGGTGATTGTAATTGTTGTTTTTTTTGCTATGTGTTAAGATGGTTTGGGTGGGTACCTGAGAGTCGGTGTTGCTTGGTGCTCACTCGGTTGCTGTTTTGGACGGTGCAGCAGAGATGGAGCATGGCAAACATGGTGAGGATCATCACCACACTCTGGAGCAGCAGGGTGAGCTCAAACTGCTTCCCTATCCTGCAAGGACGCAACAATAGAAATCAGAGAAACTTTTGGGATACAATATAAAAAGACACTATAAGAGTCTAGTATGGCCTTTGCACTAAAAGTAAGACACAACACATACACTGTACACAAGGCCTGTATACACCCTCATACAACAGTAAACTATTCATTCACCAATATAGGTTTTATTATTACAGGGCATGTCATGGAGGCTTTCAGCAGCACAAAATGACCTTATAAATAATACAGTCTTCCAACCCGATTCTGTAAAATATCTATTTAATTCCCCTCCTCGGCACCTCCAGTCAGAACAATGACCTTTGCCCTCTGCTGTGTGAAAAAGCCTTTGTAAAATCTTAAAGGGAACAGTAAAAAGCTCAGATAATATAATTCATCTAGTTTTATACTGTGATCATATTCCAATTTCATCAATTTTTGACACCAAGACTGATCTAAGGAATGACCTTTGTGCCCTACGAAGAGCAAAAAGAAGACAGGAAAAAAATATAAATGTCAAAATCAGAGGAAATGAAAAGCCTTCCCCTCTGTTGCTCACCAGAAGAAGATGCGCAGGATGTTGGCGATGAGCAGCACGAGGCAGACTCTGGTGGAGAAGCCTTCACTGTGGTTGCTCCTCTGGATGTCCTGGTACTGGGGCACATAGGGCAGGGCCCCCCCGAACACCATGAGTAAGGACGCCATCCAGGACAGCAGGGACCACGAGGCCTCCGTGTCCCCACCCTGCAGAAGCTCCTCTCCATCCATCACACCGGGGGCAGCTCAGGGGTTAGGGGCGCTCCTGAGAGGAAGCAGAATGAAGGAGATGTAATGGATGCTCAGCAGTTAGCCTGATGGATGCTTTGAGGTAGCCAGAGGTCAATAACAGGCCCTGAAGTGAACATTACCCTGGAGTCCATCAGCAATACAATGTATTAAGCTGATTGTTTTAAATACTTCAGGTATGGATTTGATTGTTTAAATAGCTCTCCTTGCTGAATACAATGTATCCTCTACATAAAACACAATGACTGATGCTAAACTCATGCAAACTTCGATGTATCTTTAGAGAAAATATAATGTTTATGCAACGTCAGTCCTTTTGCTGAAGACTTTTTAGACATATTACTGTAAAATAAACAACAATAAAATGAATTATGGCTTAATTTAGAGCTGCAATAATAAACATTTAAAAAAGATGATTGCTAACTATTCCATTAGTATTAGTATTATTTCCCATTAAAGAATGTTTGAAAATGCTATTTTGGCCTCTCAAATATGTACATTTCCCCCTTTTGTGTGTTTTATATATTATATTAATATTAAACTATATATCTTTGAGTTTTAAACTGACAATTAAATACATTTAAAGACATCATCCTTGGGCTAGGAGACACTGGATTGGACACTTTCCACTATGTAAAGGCAACCGAACAACAAATATTTGCCAGTGAGGGATATGGTGTGAAGCTTTTCCAGACGCGTGGTGTTGACAGCAAATCAGGTCTTCTCTTTGAGTGCATTTAAGATGTTTATTTGGATTGCAGGATGATGACAGCAAAACAAGAGCCGGGTGTTTAACTGATAACTAAACAACTAACTGTGATAAAGAAATAAACTGAAATTAACTCAAAACAAACTGGTGATTCCCAATCCCTAATGCTGTGCACCTGTGTCCTCCCCAAATAGTAGGCTGTACCCTGAAATTGTCTGAGTCCCCGCCTATGCCCAGGTCAATTCAGTAGTATCACAGCACCTTTATACAAATATTAAAATACATCAAATTGGCTGCAACACACTATGTAAGTTTTAGATACAAAATTAAGAAAAAAAATAAATGCAACCATAAAATAATCAGCAGAACAATAATGAAATGGTTTGATGGCTGATGTGTATGATGTCACACTGTCATGGCTCACTGACAGACTTGTATAGAAAATAACGTTAATGTTATTAGTAACACCTGTGCTGCTCCTCCTACTGTATGACAAGTCAGAATGACTGCAGTTACACAGTATGGTTACTTTAGATCAGGGTTGTCCAAACAACGGCCCCGGGGCCAGCCAATTCAACAAGTATAACGGAATATGGCCTACACCTGAAACTTGTACTTTTCTTATATTGTGCTTCTTCCGAGGTGTCCCTGAGCAAGGCACCGTTCCCTACACTGCTCCCCGGGCGCCGTTCAAAATGGCAGCACACTGCTCCTAACACTAGGATGGGTCAAATGCAGAGAAACAATTTCCCCACGAGGGATTAATAAAAGTCATCTCTCTTCTTAAGTATATATGTAAACAGATATTACACAGTAGTATATGTGTGTTAATAAGACCACGTTTCAAATGAATTCAGTCAATTAAAGTCCAATAACTCATTTGCATAACAAGCATGAAACAGGCACTTCCTATTTCCCCTCATTATAAACAATCTGAGGCTTCTGTTTTAAGAGATAAGCTTCCAACACTTTTATAACAAATAAATGAAACCCTATGGAGCGCTGTGATGTAGGCTGTTTTTTTTCTTAACGCATATTCAATATATAATAATTTACCTACATTTGATTGATTTTGCTAACTTATAACTGAACTTATGAGGCAATATGACTCTAGTGAGTGGCCCAGCCCTTCGTATGTTTTTCTGTATGTGGCCTTCACTGAAAAGAGTTTGGACACCCCTGCTTATGATGGTAAATTACTGTTGTGTTCATTCTTGATGGGCTAGAGTCCACAATAGAGAATATAACTATTCTATCTTATCAGTCTTTGAAAGCAGCAGCAACAATACAGTATACCGCTTCAGCCCGTGACCGTGTGTTCTGCGGCTTCTGTATTTATCCAAGTCATCATCTCTTAACGTTTTGAGGTTTAACCGTTCCCTCCAGCATTTCCCTTTTCTTACATTTTATAATGCACTCACATTATTGAGGAAGTATAGATTCCCTTACAGAGCGATTTACTTTCAAAACAGTTCCTATTCAATATTTGATTATGAATTGTCTTATTGATGACATATAACATGTAAAGCTTAAAAAGTTCATGTCAGTTTAGCTTCTTTACCTTTTAAATTCTAATCTATGTAACAAATCATTAACTTTCACAATTATTGCGTATACAAACATTTTTATATTTCTCTATCTGTGACCTAAATGCAAGTACAGTGCATGCACTGCCTTGATATTAGGGCTGCTCAATTAATCGTATTTTAATCGCAATTACGATTTTGGCTTGCAACAATTATGAAAACAACATAATCGAAATAAAACCATTTTTTAAATTGTTTTTTCAGTTGAATTATACTTAAAGTTCAGGGTAATCAACTGTTAAAAACATACTGTTCACATTTATTTTTCCAAGAAATGGATGTTTTCAAAGTAAATGGATAATCGTTTTTAATAATCGTGATATCAATTATTGACTCAAATAATCGAGATTATGATTTTTGCCATAATCGAGCAGCCCTACTTCATATACTCATGTACACCTGAAGTATACCTATACTGTGTGCTAGTATACAAGAAATACGTTTCCGCAATAGTTTCCATATTTAAAGATGGATAAGTCACATCAGTTTAATTATTACGTTTTTCTCCGTTATGAATATGTTGGCTGTGCAGGACACATTAACTGGAGCTCGCAAAATAGATTTTCTTTTTACAATTACATTAAGTTGGGTGGTAACGTTTGCTTGTACATTTTACAGAAAGGTAGAGGTGTGTGTGTTTTATGTATGAGCAGCCACATAGACAGACGGGGATGACAGGTGTGGAATTTGAAGCTAAATATGTGGAAACCTCCCACAGAGAGGGAACAAGTGGAGTTCAAGGAAAGGTCAAACAGACAGTATCCTGAGAAGGCAGAGATGACAGGCAGGTGTGACAGCTGAGTGGGTCAGTATTAGCTGGTACAGTGGAGATAACAAAAAGCGTGTCTAGCTATAAAGTAACTGTCAACTATTTTTGTATTTCCTAAAATAAAAATAAACTTACACTACTACTTTGAAAGAACAGAAGACATTAAAAAGAAAGATTCCTACTTATTCCTAGTAGTAATCAAACTAATTACAAGGAATTGGTAATCGCCACTATAAATGGAAGAACCATTTAGATATGGAATGAAAAAATGACCAGGAGAATCAAGTTCATGTCTTTGCAAATAGATGGGAAAGTGGCTAAAGTAAGCAACAACAAACATTGCTTTTGATACTTCAATTATATATCACAATTATTGAACTTATGCATTTATGATAAATCTGTTATCTGTTAACTAGGTCCAGTAAATTATGTATCTGTTTTTCTTCTTTTTCTGATTTTTGTATTTATGTATTTAGGTTTGAACTGTGTTTCATGTTGTTGTGTATGCCCTTAAACCCTATCATCTCTTTCAAAAGTATTATGACTATTCCGTGTCTCCACCTGCTAACTGACTTCTCTCTGAAAACTCACCACAGGTCCTCACACACACGTAATGCCCTGTGTGCAGCATAACTAGTTCAGCTTGGCTACTCTTTAAAATAGTGACGTTTTATTTTTTTCCGTTTTATGTTTATTTTCATGGCTCTGTTGTTTAAGTTATATTGATAAGCATTGTGTTGCGGGTGGAGGGAGGGAGGGGGGAGTGTAGTGAGTGAGTGTACTGTGGTACTGTGATATTACAATGTAAATGAAATGGCATCGATTACTGTACACTATAATGAAATAAAAAGATGACGTTTTGTGCTAGCCAGCATTCTTGAAGGGATAATAACATAAAGGTTACTAATTCCCTCTTTCTCCAGGGAACTCTAGAGAACAAATAGAATGGTTAATTACATTTTAGACAATGTGATACGGACAGAAAACTCCTAGGAAATGAGAATGGCACGTGGACACATTTGATGTTTAGCTAGTATGTTGCTCTGTACACAAAAGCATGACCTACATCTTCTGAGAAAATACTGACACATGTGTTACTCTTCAGGTCACTTCATAGTATGGTTGCCATTGACACATCTATACCAGAGGACCAACAAGAATATAAACTCCTTGGCTCAAATATCTGTTTGGCATTTTCAGCTGACAAGTCACTGGGTAAAGCTTAGAGGGCCAGTCAATGCACCAGGAAGTTATTTAGTAGAAAAGGTCAGCAGCAGGTTTAATGATGGTATTTATTTTACATACTTGGTTTATGATAGCTGAGAAAAAGGTTATTTCAACATGACAGGAGATGCAGCGTACATGGAGCACCGAGAGTCACCCAGAAAATGATCAGGGTCTGATAACATATTATATTTCTCATAACTCAGCTGTAAGTAAGGACAGAAATAAGGACAGACCTCACTGCTGGAGGAGAAGCCAGTTCAAGTTATAAACTCTCACAAAACATTTACAACTAGTATACAGTTACAGCTATGAAATGCAGTAACATATTGTCTATCCAGGGTGAATAAGGCTAGTAAATACATTGGTCAGTTTATTTGAAAATAAATGTCAGAGCCAGATGAGTCGTAATGTTTATTCACTTCATCTGATAAATATTTTAAAAAATCGCTTTATTAATTGGCCCCTTGCCTCATGTCATTTTGAAAAAAGCTATGAAAGTTAATGCTAGGTCAATGCCCTTGGAACACAGCCTATAACAAGTTTGTTTTTATAGGTTTCCTACAGTTAAACATTACTCAAGTATTTAACAATCCAAGGTGTCTTCAGCTATTTCCTTCCTTGGGTTGTGTGAGTAAACACACACACACACACACACACACACACACACACACACACACACACACACACACACACACACACACACACACACACACACACACACACACACACACACACACACACACACACACACACACACACACACACACACACACACACACACACACACACACACACACACACACACACACACACACACACACACACACACACACACACACACACACACACACACACACAGTAAAGTAAATATGTTGGGCCACTTCCAGTAAGAGGACATACTGTTATGCAAGATAAGCATAGCTTCACGGGGTTGGGTCACTGACATGCCTGAACATACAGGCATCATTTTTGGGCTACTGGGCAACAACAGTAACATCACACAAAGAAGCAGCTGTTACACCGTCTGTTTACACTGTTGGAGACTCATATGAGTACACAGAGGAGATTACACATGTGAACGCTAATGCCAAACGTACAGAATCATTTTTGTATTTAAAAAGCGCGTTTACAGCTCGCGCGATGTATCGCTCCTGATATAGATTTGAAGTCAAAGTAGCATCATTTCAGTTTTAACGTTGTATGGGTAAACCGTGGACTACTTCTAACTTTACTCACCAGTCGTCTTTATTCACTTTCCTTCGCCTTTTAAAAACACAAATAGTCACAATGATGTTTCAGCGTCAAAACACATTGTGTTCCCTGGCAGCTCCAACTATCAAACCCCAACTCGATCTCAAGAGAGGAGGCGGAACGTGCACGCGCATGCAAGCATACAAACACACGCACGCACGGATACTTTTAGCCTTTCCAAATGTATGAAACATGAAAGTCGTTAGGTCACCTAATGAGATGCTGCATCTGGTAAAACAAGTGCGTTGAATGAGTGGCGCATTTGTTTCCCTAAAGTTTAACACAACTACTATTTTATTTTATTTATTTTCATAGCGGCCACACAGCTCTCGCGAGACTCTGTGTTATGTAGAACAGCTGACTGTGCTGGGTGGTGCTATCGAGGGAGGGCTACCTATTTCGAACTGTTACAAGCTTGATATATCCATAATCGCTAAACAGCATTTTCAGTTATACTACTGTTTAGATATTGATAATACCTTCCACCACAACATGGCTGAGACGGACCCCAAGTCGGTGCAGGACCTTACCAATGTGGTGAGTCGAGAGCGCAATGACACGCTAGCGTTAGCTACAGCAGCATAGCTAGCAAAAGCAATAAGAATGCTAACGGTGGACAGTTAACGTTAGCTGTTTGCATCAGCTGTATAGTGCATCCGTAGCCTTTAGTGTTATTAATGTTTTTTAAATAAAATAGATTCATGGGTTCGATTTGCTCAACTTTTGTTTAGAACGTTATATAACGTGAATGGTCAGTTGGACTTTTACATGACATCAGCAAATCACAACCGAGCAAACTGCATAGCTATACACAACAGAAGTGTTGCTGCCGTGTGATTCTTGTTTTAATACATGTATATTTTATGCATTAAGAATATTGTGCAGTATCACTCACAGATATAGCACAATGCATTGTTCCAGATGAATTCTACCTGTTCATTATAATTGGGTAATGTTTCCTAGTGTTGTCATGGAGATAATGTAGAAAAGACGTTAAACTTCAGTTAACCTCCCAAACATGTATCAAGTCCCTGTGGTGTGTATGTCTTTCTCTACACATGTGTTCTAATGCTTGTGTTTTAAAACCATCTTCAAGGACGCCCAGTTACTCTAGATTTAGTTGTGTTTTTTTACGAACCTTCAATTTATCATTCTGCCTCAGGGTACCTCTTAACCAAACGTTTTTGACATATGAAGAATAAAACAAGTGAAAAATAAACTGTTGACCGGTGTATACTTAAGAAACCACCATCAGAGAACCCCATATAATGATGAACACCAATGCAGAGCAGAATGAACTTATTGTGAGTTCATTGTTCTGCACATATGCTTATCACACTGGATTACATAATCACCTCCAGTGGTTACTGAGATTTTACATTGTTGTCAAGGAAACTAGTTAGTTTCAATGTCCTTTTTTAAACCATTCATATATGCATTAGAGTGGGAGTGCTGATGTTTGTCACTGTCAGAGCTATTGTTAATAATGAATAGTCAGCTGACAGCAATATTATTTTTATCTGCTCAATTGTGTCATCTCTAAATGAAACTGGTACATCTGATGTGTGGCTGCCATCAGTGAACCTACTCACTAGATACATTTATGTGTGGCTTATTGTTTCACTGACATGATTTCTGTGTGCTCGTTTCCCAGGTCCAGACACTGCTGCAACAGATGCAGGACAAGTTCCAGACCATGTCAGACCAGATCATCGGAAGGAATATCCTTACTAATAAAACAAATGAAATATGATTTAAATGCACTGGTCAATCTAATATGGTAATGGTTCATGGCTTAATGGTAGATGTACAGACTGAAGTAAAACCCAATGTTGCCTATATAACAGTAACTTTGTGTAAGTTGTCTACCTTAACTGTTTCTCCACTTGATGAGATGAGCACGCGTATTGATGATTTGGAGAAGAACATCTCCGACCTGATGACCCAGGCTGGAGTTGAAGAGATTGAGGCGGCACCGGAGAAGCCTAAAGATGGTCAAGGCTCCTAATGAAGGTGAGCCGTAAACACAGCTAGCATTTAAAACCGAGAAGAAAACAGTTCACGCCGATGGCTTTTATTCATGCCCCTTTCCCCTCGACTAATATGCATCTTAAATGGAACAGTTCACACCTAAATGAAAACATGTTTTACTCTTACTTGTTTATCAATTTAGATAGGTAGATTTGGTTTGACTTTTTTTAATAATGCTAAATGCGCTAAAACAATAATATTGACAAGTCGTTTCTTCAGAGATCATGACCCTGGAATCCGTTTATCATTAACCTTTACGACAGATTGATAAGTTGGCCTACCACTAAAAAAGGGGAACATTTATATTTGAATCTGTTGTGAATTTTCCCTTCTATGGATATAAAGAAATCATACATATTTGGAAGATTGGATGAGTTTTAAATATTATTAAGGAGTTTGTTTTTGCCAGATTTAAAACGTGGCAAAATGCAGGCTCATGCGATTTTAGTTGAATTAACTTCCTTCATTCCAGTTAACTAAACGCACCTTTGTTTTGTCTGTCCGCAGGTTCCTAAGTAACACGGAGTGAAGTCGACAGGAGACTTTTTCCATTTGGAAAATTGACTAATATTGATTTGGTGTGTCGTTGTGTGAAATGCTTTTTTATATATGGATTATTGTTATGAAATGACTTGAAAAGTTATTCGTAAACTAGAATAGTGTGATATGCCCTTCAGAACTTTAAACGCTCACGTGCAGAAATGCAACTTAGGGATTTTGTTGTGCACTGGCCCCAGAGGTTATTGGATCATATATCTTAGATGGATAAATCCCATGAAGCCATGACTGATGGGAATGTTTTGCCTGTGCTGGGAAGTACAACATGCAGGCCAGTGGAACCTCCATCCGTACCAACATGGGCGCAGTGAACATCTGAAGCCTGTAGCGTTAACAGAGCACTGTTAGTACCAGGGTGTGGGATGCATTCCAATTTCAGCTGATTTTCTTCTATTAAAGCTATTTAATACAATGCTGTCTGTCATGTATTACATAATTCATATTTGACAAGGTGCTGAGTGAATTTTAAAAAATATTAACTCCTAGGTGCTCAGTGTTTTTCTGTATTGATTTGTTTAAGCCAGAGTTGTATTTCATCATGCAAGTGATCTGGAATGTCTCATGTTAGCATGTTTGTTTTGGGTCTATAATGTGTTGAAATGCAATTCATTATTACACTAAACGAAGCTGGAAAATGGTGAAGTTACCTTCTTAACAGGGTGTTTCTAACTGACCATGATCCTGCAGAAATGTCCACTGAAGAGAGTCACTTTACTGTGTTGTAGGAACCTTTATTCAAATGAGTGAAAACAGTGTACAAAGAAAACAAGCAACAGAACTAAGTGCCAAAAGCATTAGACAAATGCACAGCTGTAAACGAAACGTGTCACACTATCACATGAAGTCTCCAGTAATTTAATATGAATGCAATATTAAAGTTCTGTATGTATTACACAGTCATTGGTTCCTTATCTGCAATTACCATCATCTAGTGAGACTGGGGTTTTTCGAGGCTTAAAGTTAGAACTCAAAGTCCGCCTCCGTCATGTCGAGGGCCCAGGCAAACTTGTCCCTCTGGCTCTTATTGTAGATTTTATCTATGGGTACGACCATGTTCCGACACCTGAAAAAAGATACGATTGTTTAGCATACTCTGCAAAATAAATACAGCTGAAATCACCACTTAGTCTTCGAAGGTGTCAAAATCATTGTTTCTTAAACTTGCACAAAGTTATACAAATGGAATGTATAAATAATTCAAACACTTTGTTTGATATTCATTTGGTTCATGTGTGTATGGCAAAGAAAGATTAGTTACACAAGTGCTTTTACTGTGTTTGAAGATGACCAAACTAATGTAATGGAGAAATTAAAAAGACATTTTGACCGTAGCTTTAAATAAAATTACTTCAGCTTTGAGGCTAGAGAGGAAAACAATATAGTTGGTATTGTTAAACAATGTTAAGAAAAAATTAATTAAATTCCATATAACAAATGATATATGTTGTATATCTCTACTGCAGAAATGTCTTATAATACTTTAACTTAATCTATAGAACATATTATGTTGTCTCACAATCTGTTTTAAAGCCAGAGTAGAAAAAGTGTCATACTACAAAAAAATGTATTTTAGCTGTTATTATATACCATGGAAGTCACAGCAAGGCTAATGATCTGTAAACTCATTTTTCCAACTTTGTTATTACTAGACTAGAAATGCTTTGCTGCTCTCTCATTGGAGTTCTTAAGGAGCCAATGAGAGTTATTCCAGAAAGACTGGTTAGTAGAAGTTGGTTTGTGTACATATTTGGTCAGAAAATGGAACTCAGCTTAAGATGGAGGTTTACAGTGATTAAGCAACCGTCTTCACTGGACTGGAAAACCCAAATATCTGGTTGACCATTAAGCTTGCTTGGTGAAACAGGCTAGGAAAGAGGTGGTTTGATTTGAAAACCCGCCTTGTACGCTGACAGGTGCAGGACTTTAGACAGCGACTATGGGCAACCCAGTTGTTTATAGTGACCGTGTCAGTGTTCACTGTTCACTCACCAAGCCACGCTGATGCGGGGGTCCAGGTAGTTCAGCTTGGAGGTGCCCAGTGAGATCTGCTTGTTTTCCTCTTTGTCAGTCGCCTGCAACTCCATCTTCAGCAGCAGCTCCTCACAGCGCTGCACCGCCGCCATTTTCTTCTCCACCAGCCTGACAGGAAACAAAAGGAAGGTGCGACAGTCAGACACCTCTGGTTAGGGGTGCATACCGGTACCCGGTATTACCGAAATACAGGTTACTGGCAGCTACTGTATACCGTACCAAAATCAGATCAGGTTTTTGACTGTTATTACATTTTTTATGAAAGTGAGGCGTAATATTCTTAAACTCGCGCCCAAACCTTCAAAATTACGTTGTCAATTTTACCGTGAAACTCCGCAAACGAGTCACTGTGGAGTGTGGGCTGCATTTATTGTTTTCTTTCATCAGGCAAATGTTGATTTTAATGATGCTATTTGTTTGATGTGCAATGCCGAGATCTCATGATCCTTTATGTGTTCTCTGGTCAGTCGAATCTCAGGTTGAGTATTGATTATACTGGTGCTATTTGCTTTTTGCATTGACAAGATGTGCTATTCACGCCTGATGGTTGTTATAAATGATATTGCAGAATCTGTTTTCTTCATAGATAATGTATTGTTTGTTCAGTACTAAAAGGTCCAAGTCCCACAATTGAATTTAATATTCATTTGACATGTATATATCATAAAGTGCTTCATGGGAGTAATTGCGGGATGATTACAAAAAAAAATGTATGCAACATGAAAGTATCACGATATGTATCGGTTGAGTATCGGTATCGTTCAGTGGTATCGGTATCGTAAAAAAGTCAGCGATATGCAACCCTACCTCTGGTAAAAACAAGACTCCTGGTGTGGTCTTTTAAGACCTTTCTACTTTTTAGGCAAGCAAAACCACTGGTTCACTACTATACACAGTATGGCTGGTTTATATGGAGAAAATCAAATATCACAATATTTTTGAACAAGAACCTGATATTGTTATTGCAAAAGAATTGTAGGGTTGACCTTTCCTGCTTTCATAAAATATAAACATTATAAGATTGCTGATAAATACTTTTCCGCGATGTTGATACAATGACTAAGTGGGGAAGGGCAAATAATTAAACAGGTAAACGTTTGGAAAGTTAAGAAAATGACATCTCTTAAGTGTTAAGCCGTTTTAAAAACCAGGAAAAAAACAACACTACATATTAGGATATCTTAAATCTAACACTAAAGCTTGCCTTATAGCAACACATCAATACTCTACACCAGGGGTCTCCAACACGTCGATCGCGAGCTACCGGTAGCTTGCAAGCCCTCAAGAAGTAGCTCCCAAGCAAATCCATAAATATAAAAAATATACACAAAAAAAAAAAGAAGAAAGAAATGTAATTAAAAGAATCTACCCTACGCATAAACGAAACCTCAATCATAGCGATCTCTATCTACTTATTACAACTCTATATCTATCTAACACCCCTCCTCCCACAACCCCCCACAATGAATATCGACCAATCACATTCTTGCTTGATTTGCGGGACCAGCGTTGCAGCCGGGAATAAAAGCAATGTGGAGCGGCAGCTCACCGCTTCATAAGGAGTGTGACCTTTCCTTCTGGCAGAATCTACACATCAGCCCCATTGAACACAGCCTAGTCGTGCAGCCTATACAGCACATGAGGGCCAGAGCTTTACTCTGTGTGTGTTGCAACTTGCATATTTATATTTATTGCACTTGACGCACAGCGTCATTTCCACTGGGGACAGGGGGGACATGTCCCCACCACTTTTCGAAATTTCCGTTTGTGTCCCCCCACTTTACAAATATGTTTATTATTATTTGTTACCGCAAGCCGTCATCGCCACGGAGGAGCACACAGCCTCTGTGAGCGAGCGAGAGAGAGAGAGAGAGAGCGAGAGCTAGGGAGAGCACACCTTTATCTATTTAATATAGTTGTAAAAAATAAAGTAAGAAATCATTCCAATGTAGGACAGTAATCAGGGTTCTTACACCTTTTCCAAAGTCAAATTCAAGCACTTTTCAAGCATTTTCAAGGCGCATTTTCCAGCATCTTACAGCTGTTGTAAATTACATATTTATATACACATACTCAAATGATTATTTCCCTACCTCACATTAAATCAGATGTTCTTTATGCTATAAACAACCAAATGTGTGTTTCGTGATAGCCTTCTACACGAGGATGACAAATTAAAGAAAATAAAACTAAGTTTAATATTTCAAAATGAGTGACCCATCTGTATGTCCCATATAACCTGGCTGAGCCAATATAAAACAATCAGCCAAATAACTTTTCAATACATTATTGATTACTATTTTTGAGGTACTTTTAGGTTGGCAGTAAACATAAGTCAGAGGTACATGGTGTACTTTTCCTCCACTACATGTATTTAATACCTCTAGTTACTTCACAGATGTGGATGAATGATGTGAAATATAACCAAGTGTTGAATCAGACTTTAGTTCCACCTGGAGTAAATCCACCAGCTACCCTGCAGTATACAAAGTCATTCAAACTAGCTGCACCTTTACCAGCTTTGAGAACACTTTCATGATCAATCATTATAAAACATATCATATATATTATTCTGAAATGGACCAATCTGCACAACGACTACTTTTACTGTCGCTACTTTAACTATATTTGGATGAGAATACTTTTCTACTTTCACTTGAGGAACATTTTGAATGCAGGACTTTTACTGTGACAGAGTATTCCTACACTCTGGTACTTCTACTTTTACTAAGTACAAGATCTGAGTACTTATAATTTCACTACAATACCTGAGTACTTATTCCACCTCTGGTAGCGTATTAGTCTGAATTGTAGCCACAAAATCACGCAGAGCTGCATAGAAATAGACTCACAATGGTAACAAGTGGAAAATAATATTTACAAATGTGTACAATGATTTGTAGGTAATTTTGACTACTCAAGACACCTGACTTATACATCTTCAAAGGAAGACTGTGTTCATTCTACAATTACATGGGATTAAAGCAAAATGTAGTTTTACTTGTATAATACTTCAATTTTATATAAAAGACAGTTTGTTTTCATCTGTTTTCAAATAAACAAAGTCTTGGCTTTCAGAATATTAAACTTGTTTCGGCAAATTCAGATGATAAATACAACTTTGAAGCTTCGGCATAATTACAAGCGGAGAACTGAGTAACTTAACGTCACAGCAGGCATAACAACAGTCTGTGTTTCTTGTGAGTGTTTCCCCGGTACACAAACACACACACACACACTCACGAGCTTCCCCCAGACCAGTAATACAAACGAAAATGTGTCTTCGGGTCAATGTGACTGATTTCGATAGAGCAAGTCACATTTGGTTTAGGCACGAAACATACTACCAGTAGAACATTGCTTTCAAAATCGCTCTGTGTCAAATCAATAATTATATTTCGTGACTATAACACAAAATGCCGTGAGTGCTTCATCCTCTGAACACCACAGGATGGCGACTGTAACGCTCCTCTGAAATGATTGTCCCCTCCAATTATTATTATCCCTCATGGAGTTCGCTATTCAGCTCGCTAACGTTAGCTTAAACAAACGTAACATGCAACATTAGCCTAATCTAAAATGCTCTACTACGGCGTACCTTTCATGTGGCTCGTCAGCGCAGACTCTCGCATCGTTATTTTTGCAAACTTTGCAGGAGGCTACTCGTGGGCTTGACCCTCGTCTTAGCCGTGGCTTGTATTTGTCTTCTGCTAGCCAACGCTCGTTGAAACGGCAACCTCCTGGCACACAGTCATCGATCACTCTCATCAGAATGCCCAGGTCACACGTAACACAAACACTTGCAGGTCGCGCGCGTAGCGCGGGAAGGCCGCAGCGGAGCTGTTTTATGTAGAAGCGAAGCAATTCTTTTCTTTTAATCTAAAAAGCGAACTATTCAGTCAGACAGCAATTTATTGTAAAAGTAAAGCATTTACATTTTCAAGCACTTTATCTCAATTTCAAGCACCATTCCCAACATTCAAGCACTTTCCCAACCTTGAAAACACCACGTCAATTTTCAAGCATTTTCAAGGATTTTAAGCACCCGTACGAACCCTGAGTAATAGGACAGCATGACCCCCCTAGAGGATGTGAGGTCACCCCCCCCAAATAAAGCAGGTTAAAATGATTTAATTGCATACATTTTATTTTAGTAAACACTGAAAACGGGTCCCACAGACCCAAACAGCGCACAAAGGTTAAAGGTAAGCCTATAATAATGTTCAAATGTGCTAAGTATATACACTGCAAAAAACTAAAAAAGGAGTAAAAGCAGCTCACGACTTGTTTTATTTTTTGAAAGTAGCTCTCATCCTAAAAAAGGTTGGAGACCCCTGCTCTACACGTATCCAGTAAACAAACATTTTGATTGTGTATTAAAAAGGTAATACACAGAAAAGCTGTTCCATTGAGGAAGTCTTACACTGTAGCGTCAAACTAAAAGTGTTTGTATTTGCCTTTTGGCTCGAGGCACAAAGACTAAAGAATTAAGGGCAGAGGAGGTGGTTGCATATTATATATCTTTTACCTGTAGCTCATTATTCACTCTGAAGCAGTTATTCTTTGTTGTTTGGAGGCACGGAACTTTCTACAAGTAACTGTTGTTTATTTCTAATAGTTTTAATGTCCATATTTTGCTGCTCTTTCAGCACCTTTGGGACACTTACGGCTGCAGTTTGGGTTCTTGGCTGCTTTTGGTCTTGGCCTCCTTCTTGGCCTGTTTCAACTCTGTCTTTGCGAGGGACAGCTTCTCCTTTCGGGCATCGATCTGAATGAACAGATGATAACAAAAGCGTATTTCTATACATGGATCACTGTAAGTATCAACATTTCACTGCCTTGGTGATAGAGATTCTTTTAAAATGGCGTCAGGGTCATGATATCATCCTGCCCGGTAAAGGTTAATGTGATGACTGAGTGTGTCTCATAAACCTACCTTGGCCTGAAGGTTAGCCATAGACTGATCGAAGGTCTTTGGCGCCGCCCGCTGATGGTTACACAGAATTGCAACTGCTCTGTTGGCTCTGTTGTAAGAGAGCAGTTTCTCCGGCTCATTGTCGGACTCTTTAAAGGGGGACAGAAGAGTCATTTGTATTTTCACAAGAACAATCCACTGAGAATTCATATCTGACCAGAATTACACACGGCCATTTAAAAGATGAAATCACGCTGGTGTCCCTGTTGTAATTAATGCTCATCAGCAATCTGCACCACAAATCGACCAAGACCTTGAACACACGCAATTACTGTTTGCTGCTTTTTCATTTCATTTAGTCCCATCCCTATAAGCCTCATCTATTCTCTGTGGGATCCACACACCACATGCCATCCTGCAGATTGGCTCTCAGTGGCAGTCCAGAAATGAGAGGGGAGAGTGTGACACTTCTATCTCCGATTGAGAAACGGTGGCAGGGGCAGCCAATGGGACCCTGATAAGAGCGAGGCAGAGGCGCAGCACTGGGAGCAGAGATAATGTTCTCCTGCCAGGGCCCCGGAAAAGCCAACTGACACGAGGATATCGAGGAGTCACGCAAGCTAAAAATAAGAATTGTCAAAAGCGTGGCAGTTTTATCACGGGGCTCCATGACACAAGCAGTGATGTAATGAGACAATGATAAGGGCCAGACTGATAGAAGGCTATAGTATTAAAGATACTGATGGATTTGATTGAGATGTGAGCATTATCACAGTTTCATAAAAGACAATTGTCATTAAAAAACAAGGAGATCATTTGCTGTTACAATTTGATATCAATAAAATAACATAACATCTTTCTATCAATTCTATACTGCTGTAGCTACACTTGCTATTTTAGGTGCGTTCACACCGACAAATATAGAAAAATGCAGTGCACTATGTCTGGATATTGAACTCGGTGTCCAAAAGTTGCATGTGGAAAGTGGGACACTTCACCCCCCACTCAATAATCTTGGCTAAATACCGAAAATGAGGTCTGAGGAAGCTAAAGCAATTGCGGTCGCTCTAGTAAACCACGCAATACAGTTTAAGCAACCGTGAGCAAAACAAGTTGTCTGATATTTTGGTGGGCGGAAATCATTGCAGTTATTGCAATAATGATTCATCCGATTGACATTTCAAGAAAAACTATAATTTTGAGATTGACATTTTCAATGATTGCACAAAAGTTGTGATTTTCCCCCAATACTATCTCATAGCAAATCCTGCACTATGCAATAAAGTGCTTTGTGTACAATGTGTACTACATGGAAATGTAACTAACAAGTTCCAATTGAGAAACAGCATGAGAATAGACCCAACATTGACAATGCAACTAAAGACCAAAGAGTAGAGTACATTTTTGAACATAAAAGCATGGAAACATGTCACAGTAGAGTAGGGCTGTGCAATTAATCGTATTTTAATCGCGATTACGATTATGGCTTGCGACGATTATGAAAACAGCATAATTGACAAAATACGATTATTTTGCTGGGTGCGCTTTCGCCCCTCCCTAAAAGCCCACTCGGCCACGTGGGAGTGACATGTGTTGTGAGTGTTCAGCGCGAGCGAAGATGTCAGAACAAGAGCAGCAACTCGTTAAAAAGAAGGGTCAAACTATTTCCACTATTTGCAAGTACTTTGCCATTACATTCCACATCGCTAAAGATATGTGCCCAGTTAGCACTGTTAGCAACCAGGGCTTTAAGCAACTTGTCAACACGTTGGACAAGCGTTACGCGATGCCGTCTCGGTATTATTTCAGCAGGTCTGCGCTGCCTGCACTATATGACAAATGCCGTGGGGAAGTTGAGAGAGATGTGGCTTCAGCTGACTACTTTGCTACCACAACAGACCTATGGTCTAGCAAAGGGGTGCCCAACCAGTCTATCGCGAGATGTGTCTAAAAATAGAACAACAATATTCTGTTTTATCGTTAATGTCCTGTAACATAATCTTCCTGTGCCAGAATAATGCACATGAACGCATCAAAGCTTTGTGATTGGCCGGCGTCACCCCATGTGTCGGGGCGTGGCTGAGGGTCTTCAGTACAGGTGGCAATATTGTCACCTACCTGCGCTCATCTCTGAAACCAGACCATGTAAACAGGCTGGTGTTTCTTGCGAACAATCTTTAAGAGATGACATGAGCAGTCCTACCAGCATTTGCCATGGTGGCCTAAACATTTTTATTTGGTCTTAAATTGTAGTTCAACATTTATTTCCTGTTACTTCTGGACCATGACGGTTGGCCAGCCTTCAACGTTTAACTGAGTGGAATATGTTGAATATGTTTTACCAAAATGTTGGCTATATGTTAAGGAGTTTTCAGTAGGTTGTGACAGTGCACTGCAACATGTTGGATTTCATTTATTTTGGTCTAATTTATTTTTATTTATCATATTAATATATGTTTAGTATGGTTTTGGAAGTGCGCTCCAACATATTTGTTGATCTTGTTTATTGGTAAAATATTATTTGTTTTAAAGTTCAATAAATGGTCAATGAATAATCGTCAAAATAATCGTGATATCAATTATTGACCCAAATAATCGTGATTATGATTTTTGCCATAATCGCACAGCCCTACAGTAGAGGCACAAAATACAAATATGAATCAGAAAATGTGCAGATGATGTCCTCTTTGAGCGGAAATTACCCATGTTGCTGCTTAGGAATATTAAACTGAGATTTTAAGAGCTATGAGTGTAATGTTACATGGCATAATAAGCATTGAGTGTGAGTGTCTTACTGTTTGACAGCTCTTTCAGTTGCTGCTGTAAGGTGATGGAAGCGTTATACGTCCTGAAGACCTTGGCACTCAGACCGGGCATCAGAGAACTCAGGTGCTTGTTCAGCAGGATTGTCTGCAGAGAGAAATGTGAAGCAGAGAAACACATTTAACACCAGTGTGGTACTGAACAAACTCAATGTTAACACAAAACCAGGAGACAGACTGTCTCTAAACTCTACCACTAGGTGGCAGTGTGGCATTGCACCACAGCAGTGATTGAAGTGTGTGTAATGTACAATAACAAATAAAACACATACAACTCCATCTCTGCCTTCATTATCATCATCATCAATTACAGCAGGCAGATTAAAATAGATCACAGTACTATTTCCCCGCTGACATTTGGGTAGGTATTATAGCAAGTTAGAGCTGTCATAGTCAGTGGTTAGATAGCCATTAGCTGCTGGCTAATGGCCGCAGCTCCAACACAGCAGCAATGAGATGAGGCTAACAGTGTAAGCAAACAAAACACATGGGCTCTCTGCGCACACACTGATATGAGGTGCAAACATGAGGACTTTAGAGGATGCATTTCTAAACACAGATACAAGCTCACAGATGAGACAAACAACCATAGCTCTGGCAGAAGAAGAAATAATGGTGATGATTTTAGTGAGGATTACATTAATGATGATGTGGTTGGTTTGATCAGAGCAGGGTCAGGACCCGGCTGTCTGGGGCCATAGACTGCAGGAGACTTCGAGAGAGTTTGTCATGTTTACATATGCTGGAGGGAGGTACACACACACATCCACACACACAACGTTGTTATGTCTGCCTTGCTAATAGGCTACCTGACTCTGCCACTGTGATGCTAATGAGAGTGTCTGCAGGTCTGAGGGACAAGCATGATAGCCGTCTGTGCTGAATTTCCTCATGAACACACTCCGTCTGCTTCTAAATAACCATTCATCCGTCCCATATGTTCCTACCTACAACTGTCTCACAACAAGACAGGAGGTTTCTCAGCAAACAAGAGCACTTAACCAAACGTTGCCAGACTGCCGCTGCCGCAGCGATCGCTCGGTTTCCACTGCATGAAACCTGTGTATGTTGAGGGGTCTTTATATGTTTCCTCCCAAATAGACAAATGGCCGTTGATCATCAGAAAGAAGAAGAAGAAAAAGACATACTTTATTAATCCCTTTCGGGGACATTTCTTTCCCCACTCTGTTGTGTTTACACACATTACACACACAGGGAGGATGTACATGCACAAACACCACCACGTGCAGATAGGAGAGGTGGCAGAGCAGAGAGGCTGCCAGGTACCCGGCGCCAAGGGAGCAGTTTCGCTGTATTTATCACTTTAGATATAAGAACACACAAAGCAAACTCATAAAAGGTGCACGTGAGTTAAAAACCAATAAGAAGTAGAAACAACCGATAAAATAATACTGAAACATTTGAATGAAAGCCTCCTCCACAACTCTATCCTTTCCTCCCTCTCTCCCACCTCCTACTCTTTTCCAGCCATGTTCCACCTTCTCCCTCTTCACCCCCCCTCACCTGGACCAGCTGTCACATTTCTACCTCTCCATCTCCTCCAACCCCCCCCATCCTCTCCGCTCTCTCAGTGGCCTGGCCTTTACGGGTGCCAATCAGGCCTGCCCACAGACGCCATTACCATTCCACCTCCAACACACCCTGACATTTCTTGACACACTGGAGGGCAGGGAGCAGAGGCGGCACACTCCTTCCTTCAATTGCTCCATCTCTTCATCTCACCCTCTCACTCCCTGTCCCCGTTTGGAGCTCCCTTTTCCTGCCTGTCAATCTTGAGATAGTGTCACGTGACTGACACTAGAACTTCCAGGTGCTTTCTAATCCGCATCTCTCTCTGCCTCCTTCTCAGAGTGCAGGAATGAGTCATAAAACCTGGGAATTAGTTTTATTTGATTTACGACTTCTGGTTACCTCGTCTTGAAGTATATCACTCCATGACAGCCATGGTCAGACACAGGTGTACCTTTAGTGAAAGACTCATTCCACAAAGATGCACCGAAAAGCGCCACAGGAAGTCCTTCCTTCCGGCGTGCGCCCTGATATCAAAATACTGATTTTCCCTATAAAATTAGAAAGTGATGCCAAAAAACAATATTTCAAAAACGGTATAGAATATAAAATATAAAATATGAATATCGTGTCACATAGACCACCAGACGACATAGACAGCTTTGTTTTTACGGTTTTTCTGTAGAGGAAGTAAAGAACCGTAAGTAGGGATGTATTTGATGTTTGAGGTGCAACATATGACTCAGCAGCTTTAAGACATGAAGACTTTTTTTGGCTTGGCTCTAATGCATTATTTTCAGCGGAAAGTGGGCGGGCCGCCATTTTGGCCGGAAGGTACATTAGCGCCTTCATACTATATTTTTCTAGAAAAACCCCTGAGATTGTTTAACTATTTCCTCTGTCAATAAGGCAGGAACATCTCTTCTTATGTTTACATAATATTGTATTATTTGTATTTACTTGCATTTCTTATGTCTATTTATCTCATTGTATATTTTACTTCTTATGTTTAATTCTCCTTATGTCCGATTCAGATTTTTAACATGATTTTGGTTAGAAGCCCAAAATAAGGACCGTGGTTAATGCAAGATTTTTAAGTTTTGTTCTACGACATAAAAATACGTGAGTAAATGCCTCACTGGTGAAAGTCTGAAGCTTCTATGTCCTAAAAACGACGGTGGCTAAACGAGACTACTTAAAAGACATCAAAGTAAACATTAGCATATTTAGCTTAGTGGTGGTGATGTGAAGCCATGCTACCGTGATGTTGTTTGTTTGTAGCCTAACGTTAGCTTTTTGCAAATCTGCTAATTGCATTTATGCTTAAAAAAGTAAAAGGTGGTATCATTGGTGTCAATTTGTGGAGATTATCCTGCTTAACAAAACAAGTAGGTATTGTGAACAATGGTTTGCCAAAGGGCTTAATTTCTGCAATAACAGAAAAAAATGCTTTTTGACGAGGGAGCCCTTTTATTGCTAACTTCCAGGTAAGCCTACAATAATACGTAATCTGTGGACAACTCTATTGACCTCCTCTTCAAAGTGACCATTCATCTGTTGCACCGTCTCACAAGATAAGGGATTTCTCAGCAATGAAAGAACCATGGCTGCCTGGCTGTTAGCTGCTGTACCCATCGCTTGGTTTCCACTGGATGAAACTTGTTAGTATTAAACAATTCTGAATATGTTTCCTCAACAAGGACAATCTGTTAGCCTGCGGTGTATTCTTAAATAGACAAATAATGCTGTTATCTTGTTATATAAAGACTAAGAACCCTGAGAAGTCCCAGGTCTCCCTGTGGGGGGCTAACCATGTGTTGGACAGCTGCATTGTGTGTGTGGCCTTCCCGCCAGCAGCTAGAGGAAGAGGTTGAAAGGATGGCAGATTTCTATGTGTGGAAATTCATCCACTCAGCATGTTCACTCTCAATTTCTACTCGCACAGTTTCATTTTTATCTGCCAGGGTCCATCCCCTCTCTCGTTTGAAACTCTTTCAGTCTCCCAGCTTCCAATATTCTTCCCCTTCTCCTCACTTTACCCCTTTCATCTCTCCCACCCCAACGGCTCGAGCTCATTCAATCTCATCTCTCTTACACCTTACAATTTAGTCCCCGCTTTTCCTTCGTTGCAGCCTTCTTTTACCCGGAAAATATTTTTGGAAATAATTCTATTTTGCTTGCAGAATATTTTACACCTCAGGGGAGTTGCTCTCATTTATTCCACCATCAGTACTTATTTAAACAAAGTTGGCAAATATATTTAAGCACATATTGACATTTTTCCTCAAATTATTTTCCAAACACCAAAATCCACTGAAAATAAGATTTCCTGAGTTGTGTGAAGTGTATCTGTTTACAATCCACATAGTTATATATTATGAAATAAAACGTATTTTATTCCACTGTACGGTATTTATTTGTATTTTGAGCCTCTACTGCGACATGTCTCCATGCTTTCATGTTCTAAAAGCTCTTTATTTCTCTCATACTACCTGTGCTGCAGCACCTCTTTTTTACATTACATTACATTTAGCTGACGCTTTTATCCAAAGCGACTTACAATAAGTGCGTTCGACCAACAAAATACAAACTTGAAGAAAACAGAATCATATAAGTACATCAGGTTTCATAGAGCAACAACATTTCAAGTGCTACTCAACTGGCTTTAGATAAGCCAGTCCTTTATTAGTATATAAGTGCTTTGTTAATAATTCTATCGCTCGAAGTGGAGTCGAAAGAGATCTTTTCACCCTCTGTCTGAAACCAGGGGCCAAAATGGTGTGATTGGTTAGCTGGTAGGCTCTGTTGTGACTGGCCAACCGCTTAGCGAATTGTCCCACCCCTCAGCATATTATGTACGTACAATGTGTTGAAGCTCTAACCAAGAGAAGCGCAACTGTTACATAGTGATGTCATTATGTTACGCAAGTAAACAAAGCAGTTCAATGGAGGCGTTTCAGGCAGGTGAGAAACTCCCTCTCGAGGGAACTTTGTATTTTAGGTTTTGCAGACTATGCACACAAACCTATACAACAGCAGTATAAGAAAGGGAACAACCAAAAAAGGCCCCTTAAAGAACGTCATTGCCAACAACTACACTGTGGCTTTTGTGCATATGAGAATAAAGCCTTTGAATCATTAAATCCTTAAATCTAGATTCTTATTTGGCAATGTTTCACAAGAGGTTCAAAACTAAACATCAAGGTTGGCTGGTATCAATGAAACATGTAAAAATAGTGTTAGCAGTGAGTGTTAGCGAGAGACTCACAGTGAGGCGATCGAAGACGTCATCTCCAGGTGATTTGTTTTCCATGAAAAGTTTAAGATTCTTAAAAACCTGAAAAGATAGAAAGACAAATCTTGTAAGAACTGGGGAAAAGCAAAGCAGCCAATCAGCTACCAGTCAGAAACTACTTACATTTAAGGCCCAGCCGCAGCATTTTGGACATTTCAAATATAATAATGATGAATAGAAATATTAAATTGCATTCCATTACTGTCACATTTACAAATTAACTTCTTTTTTTGTATCTACAAAAGTGAGACTAATGTTTTAAAACCTATTTTATGAGTCAGATCTATAACCCTATAAAATACAAACTTATAGAAAAGCAATAGACACAACGAGAGTGGTGTGAGTGAGTGTGTTTGTGTGTGTGTGTGTGTCTGGCGCCCGACTTCATTAAATAACTTCATTAAATATGCAAGACACCAATTAATAGCAACAGATGAGTTGCTTTATAAAACACACCAACATATTCAGTGCCGAGGCAATGATGTTCCCCTTGGCAAACAAGCTGAAAAATACAGAAAAAGGTTAAATGCAAGAAGTGCTTTTGGGATAAAATGTAAATCAGTTTCTCGGTGGAAAAATCTCAGAGAAGCAGAGCCACCAAAGTCAGTTTGCTTAATTAGTGATGTGTCTGTGTATGTTTGTGTTAAGAATTTAAATCTATTAAGAAAATATTAAGAAATGGAGATATATTGATAAAGTAATTTATAGTTTTAACTGGTGGCTAAATTGTGTAATAAGTTGGGAATTTACTTTCAAATAAAAGACCGATACTGTGTTGGCATAAATGTTGAAAGCACATGAGCTTAAGGTGCGTTCACAGCGGACGCAGAACAGAGATGCGCCAAGCGGTACTGGTGCAAGTTTGACCGAGCATTATTTGTTTTACTTGCGTCACTCCAACTGGCGAGGAGGCAGGGCTTATCTTCATGTAAACCAACAAAATAACAAAAAGTAGAATTTAGACTTTATTTAATTGTAATACACATATCAAAATGATGCAGAAATAACTACACATTGACTTTACATGTAATCGTGCGTAAAGTCAGTTTCTTTGCGTCCAGTGTGAACAAACCATTAGCATTAACCCTTATGATCACTCTTCTTCCTGTTAAGAAACAATGATGTGACTTTAATTCAATTTCACTATAACATTGGCAGTACTGCATTGGCAGTAAGCATAGCATGGCTCCAATTCTTTGCCATTTCTGTGTTCCTCCCCTGCAGAGCCTATTGTCCTCTGCAAGCAGGGTTTCTGCAGAAGAAGCAAGTTGCATATACAGTACATATAAGTGTTACATTTAATTATTTTAATACCCCTCCAGAGGTAGGAAATTACTTAATCCATCCGTGTTCAATTTTATACCAAGTGACATTTCACAGCAATCTCACTGATTTCCATGGGAATTGATGATGCTAAAAAATGCAAAAGACTAATTAATTCTAGCTAATGTATTGCTTTTGAATACACTCATTTGAATAATGATACGTTCTGCCAAGAAACAAAACACTTTGGCTGTCAGGTGCTAACATTTCTGTCTCCATCTCTGGAACAGAAGATAGCATGGGCTGAGACCGCTGAGACCACACACACACACACACACACACACACACACACACACACACACACACACACACACACACACACACACACACACACACACACACACACACACACACACACACACACACACACACACACACACACACACACACACACACACACACACACACACACACACACACACACACACACACACACACACACACACACACACACACACACACACACACACACACACACACACACACACACACCACACACACACACACACACACACACACACACACACACACACACACCACACACACACACACACACACACACACACACACACACACACACACACACACACACACACACACACACACACACACACACACACACACAGGCCTTGGCTAACTTACTCATTACAGAAGGCATCATCATTGACTGTAAGAGATCGACCCGCAGCTGAAAGGAGTAGCTCCCTAAATAATTTATGTTCTCTTAAATATTCCCATGTAGGCAGTCGGTCCCACCTGACGAACTGTGAGGACACCTGACAGCAAGAAGCCATGCCTAGAAATATTTGCACAAGCTCAAATAAAATTGGACAGCATCTCAATCTGCGTTTAAAGTATGCTACTTAATGTGACTCAATGTCACATTATATTTAAATGATTTGGGGCCGACAAATGCGTTAAAAAAAGGGTACGGATATAATAAGAAACGCTATTTCCACTTTGATTTACAGTGCGTCTTTCATATTAACTATTCTGTCTTTCCTCATATCTTATCATTATATTATAATATCTAATGATTTCTGATGCTGAAAAGCAGAAGCACTGATTTATAACTGCACATCAAAAACATTCATTTAATTAAATGCCTAAAAGACAAGTTATGTGAGCAAAAGCCTTTTGCTTTTTTTTTTTACCACGAAGGAAACCTAAAACTAAGTAAGGGTTTAAAATAAGGATGAAAGAAAAGGATTCAACTGTAATTTAAGATTTTAAAAACAATGGTGTCATAAATGCTGCTGCAAAGATACAATCTATAAGAAATAATTATTCCTATATACTACTGAACAGTTATATGGATATGTATGTGCTGAATATTCCAAGGGTTGTAACGGACAGACAAATTAAAGCAGCACAGCTACAGGAATCCAATCTAAAACTGTGCCTCAAGGACATTTCTCAGTTCTCTCTTCTCCATGCTCTGTGCGTGTCGATATGTGTGCAAGTGACCTTCTCTGCAGGAACCAAAAGGGCAACGCCTAGAATATTATACTGAAATTCAGTGGATTTGTATTACAAAGAAGTAGAGCTGCAACCATTAGTCAACTAATCAACTAGTCAGTTGACAGAAAATAATCATCGGCTATTTTCTAGAGAAGCTTCCTTATGTTTGAATAACGGTGCGTTTAAGCTCTTTACTTTCGGGCGAAGGTAAACTATAAAGTTATGTTTTCAGTTCTAAATGTGTAAAAAGTAGTTGACTCTAATACAGTTGGAGGGAAATGTTTTCACAGCTAAAACAATTAGATGGTAGATGATAGAAGGAATGGGTGCTGCAGGAGTATGGGGTGAGGGGGTCTCTACTCAGGGCCATCCAATCTCTGTACTCCCTGTCACTGCCCGATCTGCAGTGCGCATGTGCGAGATGGTCCGCCATATTGGACAACTCCGGACGGCAACCCAAGTAGGACACTTGACACAGTGGCAAATCACAAAAAGAAAACTCGATAGGGATGAGTTATTGTTATTACAACGTGACTTCACTCTTACTTAACAACTCTTTTTATTTGGTTCTTTTATTTGGGGTTAAGTACATTGTCAGAATAAGTGAGAAATGAATTTAACTTCTGTTAGACAGCTATATGCCATACATTTTTGCATACATTCACAGTAAATATTGATTCAGTACGATAGCTGTTCTTTTTGAGCTTTGCCAAAAGCCACTGTGTCAAGTGTCCTACTTGGGTTGCCGTCCGGAGTTGTCCAATATGGCGGACCCTTTCGCACATGCGTACTGCAGATCGGGCAGAGCTGCAGATCGGGTAGTGACACTCCCAAAGCGAGAGCTGTGTCCGGGTCCTCGGCAGTAAGTCGGACCCATTTCCGGTGAGGGTTGGCCTCCGCCAGGGCTGCGCTTTGTCACCAATCCTGTTTGTAATATACATGGATCGGATTTCGAGGCGTAGTCGTGGGGGAGGGGGTCTGCAGTTTGGTGGACTAAAGATTGCACCACTGCTTTTTGAAGATGATGTGGTTCTAATGGCTTCATCGGTCTGCGACCTTCAGCACTCACTGGATCGGTTCGCAACCGAGTGTGAAGCGGCTGGGACGAGGATCAGCACCTCCAAATCTGAGGCCATGGTTCTCAGCAGGAAACCGATGGACTGTCCACTCCAAGTAGGGAATGAGTCCTTACCCCAAGTGAAGTAGTTCAAGTATCTCGGGGTCTTGTTCTCGAGTGAGGGAACAATGGAGCGTGAGATGGGCCGGAGAATCGGAGCAGCGGGAGCGGTACTGCAGTCGCTTTACCGCACCATTGTGACGAAAAGGGAGCTGAGCCAGAAGGCAAAGCTCTCTGTCTACCAGGCCATTTTCGTTCCTACCCTCACCTATGGTCATGAAGGATGGGTCATGACCGAAAGAACGAGATTGCGGATACAAGTGGCCGAGATGGGTTTTCTCCGCGGGGTGGCTGGCGTCTCCCTTAGGGATAAGGTGAGAAGTTCGGTCATCAGGGAGGGACTCAAGAGTTGAGCCGCTCCTCCTTCGCGTCGAAAGGAGCCAGTTGAGGTGGTTCGGGCACCTAGTAAGGATGCCACCTGGGCGCCTCCCTAGGGAGGTGTTCCAGGCACGTCCAGCTGGGAAGAGACCAAGGGGTAGACCTAGGACCAGGTGGAGGGATTATATCTCTTTGCTGGCCTGGGAGCGCCTTGGGATCCCCCAGTCAGAGCTGGTTGATGTCGCCAGGGAAAAGAAAGTTTGGGGCTCTCTGCTGGAACTGCTACCCCCACGACCCGACCACGGATAAGCGGGAGGAGATGGATGGATAGATGGAGTATGTGCTCATTGTTGGTGTAAAGCAGGGGTAGGCAAGTAAGTTGGGCCGTGGGCCAATTTTTTGCTGAGCCGCAAGATGGCGGGGCAGAACATAATGAAAGCCTAATTCAAGGAATTGATTTTGGTAAGAGGGTGCAGCGCCCCTGTTCCCCGGTTCAGAAAAAACTCTGATATCGCTGATGACCCTCCCCATCAACACTCTGATGCGCAGTCAGATCCGCTGATTGGTTCACTGATGATATACGCCCAATCCAGAGCCTGTGGCTAGACCCGCCCATAGGGAGGCTCGTCCTCTCTAGCCCCATTTCAGTCCCAAAGCCAGGGCTATTATCTGTATTTTAACAGACTTATCTTTTAAATTGAGGTGTATTTATTGTTCTCTTCAAAGTCTATTTTTCTCTGAAATTGTAGGGTGGATGGTCCTCCCTTTCCTCAATGGACGAGCCTCCACTGAGTAAAGTAACTAGCAGTGTTATTTAACATGCTTTTATTCTGATAAGTATTGTCAAGTTCTCTGGGTTTTTGGCATTTATTTGAGTGTTTGCCCACATTTGAGAGGCTTGAGGGACAACTGGAATCCTTTTTCCTTTTCTTTATTTCAACTTTTCAAGGACACATTAGGATTCTTTCAGGTTGAAAACCTTTAAAAAATACCAAAGGACAAAATAAATCAATTACAGCAGTTTTGCTTTGCAATTTAATATATTATAACCTAAATTAATCAGTAAGCAAGTATTTTACTCAAACTCAATGTATTTAATAGTTAAATAAGTACTTTAATTGACCCGGTTCCCCCCAACCACACATTTGCCATATGTGACCCGCTCTATCGAAATCAGTCGGAAGTCGCAACGGCTCATTTCAAAATAAACGTGGATTTGCGTAAAAAAATAGTTTTTCGGGGTTCGAGTGTTTTGTTTGATTTTAAATAAACAAAGTCTTGGCTTTCAGAATATGACATTTTTATTTCCAAAATCACACGATAAATACATGTTTGAAGCTTGTAAAGGGAAGATGACAGCTCTCCCTCCACTCTGCTCTTCCACAGCGCCGCTTCCCCTCCCTCCGCTGACATTATGAATGTAAGCGGATATGTCGGCACAGAATTTATTTTACCGGACAAATTTGAAACTTACCGGTCATATTTCAATAATAATAATAAGAATGGTGTAGCAGAGTTTCCGTTAGCAGGTAATCACCGGACTAGGACCGGATATGCTGATGTTTAAAACTCAGTTAATGGGGCTCATTTTTATATTGCTTCAGTTTATAATCGTTACAGATCAAAAAGTTCAGATTCATTTTTCAATAAATGATTCCACAAACAACATAATTATTACATTCAAACAAACTACTTGTAGTAGATGAAGTACATTATTCAAAAGTTTACAATAACTTTGAATAATAACACGGGAGAAACGGATGCTCTCTTTTCCTCTCTCCCTCCCTCTCTCTCCCTCCCAGCCCGTCAGTTTGCTAAACAGTGGGCGGGGCTTCAGGTGATCATGCAGAGCTGCGTGTCTCCATCAGACTCAGCAGCTGATCTGATCTCTCTCTCGGGTCCGGTTACACTTCACTCGTGTTTATGTCCATATCGATCAGATCCAGCTCTCCTGATCGGCCTTTATAGAGAGCACCGATCAAACTATTAAGAGTGAATATCGGCCGATAATGACCGGCGGCCGATCGATCGGCGGCTAACAGAAACCCTGATGTGCGACTGTCGGTCCTATGTTGTAAAAAAAAAAAAAAAAAAAAAAAAAAAATCAAAATAATATTTTATTTTTGATTCTCAAAATTACGGGCCAAATATTATTGCTGGCGGGCCAACAATGGCCCGCGGGCCGCCTGTTGCCGACCCATGGTGTAAAGGCTACTGCCTGAATATGCTAGCCTGTTGTCATACATATAAACGTAAGTAAATTATTGATATTTCCTTTCTCTGATATTTATTAGCATTGCCTTTGATTTGGAGGTAATCCAAAAGTAACGGAAAGTAATCAGGTTACATTCCTTTTATATTCCGATACTCAGATTATGTTACTGATTACATTTATTTGTACCTGTAACTAGTAATTGCAACGGAATACATTTTAAAAGTAACCCCTTCCAACCCTGATGGGATTAATATCAGGTATTACACTTCTAGCATTGTGACATCCATATGAGTGTGTGAGTACTTTTGGCAACTTTTTGTTCCTTTACCTTCTTGATGACGGGCACCTTGTTGTAGTAGCGAATGCAATCTTTACCCAGGAAGTCGAACTCCACCACACACTCGCTGCCGTCCAGTTTCTCGTGGAGGGTGATGTGCTCCACGCGCAGGGAGCAGCAACCCACCGTGTCTGCCGTCTCTCCCTCATCCTTCTCGTTACCAGCTCTCAGCGCCAGCTTTTTTAGGTCAGAAGATAGATAGAAACACATCAAATCCACACATACTCATCCAACACCAAACATTTGCCAATCCTACTCAAGAGTCCTTAGATAGGAATAACAAAGAAGTAAACAAAGCTGAATCTGAATTTGAATAGTCTTTGGCACGAGCCAAAAGCAATCACACACTCAATCTATCATTTGACTCAATGCAGAGCGAGATAATTAGCTTGGGGTCGCTGGAAGAAAATGGCTACATATAATCCATTTATCTCATTGCGAAAGATCTTCCATCCAGCTATGTGAGAAGACAATCAAGACGCATCGCATCGATTTCCAATACGTGGCTCCTGGTATCAGACCTGAGCACTTAATCTGTGAAAGTTATTTCTAGCACTGGCGTGTAAACATAGAAATCTGGGCATCTTGATTGCAGTGTTCGTACGCCAGAGTTGTTCCTTGACCACGGCTCAGACCTTGTCTATGAAGTAGAGGGCCACGGCTCTTTGTCGGGTTTGCATCTGTTTAGCTTTCAGATCCTGGTCGTACTGTTCACGGATGTTGCCCACGCATGACTTCAGTTTGCGGGCAACTTCATATTTCTCCCAGTCCTTTTCTCCCTACAAAGGATGAAAGTAAGGAAACAAGGAGGGACAAAAGGTGTAGAGAAAGAGAAAAGGAAAGAGGAGACATGAAGTGAGTTTCTTTGACATAATTCAAAATGGTTATCGTGACATTAATGCCATGTTATATCCAGGGTTGGGAGGGTTACTTTGTAAATGTAATCAGTTACTGATTACTGAATACATGGCTCTGAAAGTAATCCGAATACAGTTACAGTTACGCGTCTTAAAAAAGTAACGTAATCAGATTACTTTTGGATTACTTTCTTTTTCCATCACAGATGGGTATGTTTTGGTGAACAGGAGACACAAAAAGCAAAAGGAAACTGAACGTGTTTTTACTGTTTTAATGGCTTATCAAGAGCACAACTGAAACATCACATCTGAAACGATGTAACAACATAATAAACTCTTTGGGGATGCAGCTTGGGATGTGAGGAGTGAGGGACACGGCTTAGAACGGGCGTGTCGCCTTCTGTCCTGCCAGTGTTGGCAGGACATGAATTAAAATGTCGAACTCGGACTTCATTTTAAGGACATGTCGGCCAGGGGTGTAGAGCTATATTTGTTTAACCACCGGATTGGCAAAACAGGAGAGTGTGTGCACCAGTCTGCCTTGATCTATGAATTAATGTCCGTGACACTCACAGTAGCCTATCTGCTGCCCACAGCTGTTTTATAGAAGGAACACCTCCTTCACTTCATGAAATCTCTGCAGCACCAGGAGGCAGCGGGAGGGTTAACTCAGCCTCTGAGAAGACAAGCCTTTCACGCACCGCCTTCACTGTGTTTACCTTCAGAATCATTAGAAAGGCTAAAGAGCGGTGTGGCTGATGTGTTTTAACCACACACACACGACTTAAACGCAGACTTTTGTTCCTCCATGTTTCGTTGTTATTGTTTCACTGAGTGGACCCGCCCCTTTTTTTTCAAACGCTCCCTTTTTTGGTCCATCTGCGGCGGTAATAGGTTTTGTGCGCTGTGATGATTCGGCTGTACCTTTAGTAATGAATATTAAATGTTGTGAGGAAATCTTTCCACCAATAATTCCAATAAGTAATCCAAAATGTATTCACTTCAGGTTTACGAAAGTAACTGTAATCAGATTACTCGTTTTTCAAATGTAACGCGAGCTGAATACAGTTACTTGATTTTTGTATTCTGATTACGTAACGCCGTTACACGTATTCCGTTACAACCCAACCCTGGTTATATCACACTACTTTAATGACAACATTGCTTTGCTTGTTTACTGCTGGTTATTTATTGGGAGTTTGGACCAAGGTGATTAAACGCACCATCGGTGAACACGCACAGGCCTATTGTCATGGAGACTAACAGTGGAATAACTTAACCTTTACATGTGAAAGATGGAAAGAAGAAAGAAAAGGAGTGATGTTTTGGAGGAGAGCGAAAAAGAGATATGAGAGAAGTGGGGAAAAAAACAAAGATGTCGCACATGTCTTATTTAACACACATAGGGATTGCCATTTACTCTCCAAACAGAACCATAATGGCATTTTAATAATGTACAACCAATAAATAAAAGAATGTAAATGCACATTTCCTACACAAACAGTTCTGGCTTATTTGACCGTGAATTTCTAAGAAAAAAAACCCAATAAGGGCCATGTTCACAAAGCCTTTTTCTTTTTAAAATTGATTCCAATGAAAACCGAGCTCATGCCATCGGAAACTATGTGCCAAGCGTCTTTTTCCTGAGGCCTCTGTCTTTTTTGTGAGGCTGCTCCAAGTTGAAAATACTACAACTTTTAAGAAAGTTTAATAAAAAGCTTGTTTTTGGCTGTGCTGGTCCAAAGAACTTAACAAATTGGAGCAGATTGGTCGAATGGACAGCGGATGTTGTTGCCTGTGAGTGTGTGACTTTTATCGTCCTCCTCCCTCGCTATATGGCTGTCAGACCGAGCAGTGCCTACCTCATTCAAACAAACTGTGAGAGCAAGAATCTTCCGGTTGTTGCTTATAGTGAAAAAACGGTCAAAAATGTTTAGTAAAAAAAGATGTCCACATCCATGCTAGGCTGTCGTACAACGGTGGGGATATGTTGTAGACATATCGTGGTCATAAAAACAATTAAAAAGACGCTATGTGGACAAAGGCCCGATTCCGTTAATTTATTTGCAAAGTAAATGGCTAACCGTTGCTTAACAATTAAATAAATCTATACCTTTATTACAGAATGCGCATTAATTGCCGTGCAAAGATTTACACTTTACATTTCTTCACTTATGTTGTGTCATGATTGCATTGGCCGTATTTTCTAATGACTTGATTGCCAGTTTAGCTGAATACATTTTAGTGCAACTTGTTAATTAATTATTTATTTATTTATTTTAATATTTATAACATAACATAGGATTTCATAAAGTATTTTTAAAATAGTTTATACATTATTCGAATATAGGAATAGTAGATAGGATTACTTAAAATATAGTACCTTATATTTCATCTTTTTTCCCTTTAGACCCTTGCGGTTTATTCTTAAAAACCCTTACCCACCCCCCATTTTCCCTCTGCTGGTCTATGGCCTTGTAGAGGGTAACGGGGTACAGAGTCACTTAGATAAGCGGGGGAGTGCATCTGACGAAGACATAGGTTGTTGTGCTCCCTCTCTCTGTTTCTTATCCTATATCTAATAGAACTGCTCGGGTCTTGATAAATTGAGTGGGGAAGTTCATGAGATCTTTCTAGAGGGTTATCAAGAATAACTTTTATCCAATGACCTTTTCCCTCTCTGTCTGTGTCTGTGTATTCTCTTGTTCCGATTAACCCAGCCAAATCTTTTTTCTTGTTTTGTATCTATATCTACGCCGGGATCCGGAGTCGAGGCTGATCCTCTTGCTGTAGTCCTGTGTCTTGGATCCTCTATCCCGAGTTCTGGATTAAGTCGTGGACTGAACCTGTCTCTGCGGTCCTGCCTTGGGTCTCGTCATGCTGCTTCCCTGATGGCTTCCACAGGATTGTAGCTGACATCCTCGTGGATTCATCTTCTTATTACAGACACATGCATTTCCTAACATTCGGTCTATATGCTGTAAAATGTATTATCTCTTCGATTTACACACGGCATCTATTGCACGTCTGTCCGTCCTGGGAGAGGGATCCCTCCTCTGTTGCTCTCCCTGAGGTTTCTCTCATTTTTCCCCCTTAAACTGTGGGTTTTCTCTGGAAGTTTTTCCTTGTACGATGTGAGGGTCTAAGGATAGAGGGTGTCGTTTTTCTCATACTGATATTCTGAACAATCTGTGCTGTTGTATTTGCTGTAAAGTGTCTCTACTGTAGGCTATTTTTATTATATGTACAGCACTTTGGCTCGACCAAAAATCGTTTATAAATGTGCTATATAAATAAAACTTGATTTGATTTGATTTAATTCATCTCAGTTGGAATGCAGGCTGTTTTAGCACCAATCATTACCGCGTGCTCAGTTTGTGAGTGCTAAGCAAGAGGCCGGCTGCCAATAGGATTTGCCAATTGGCAGACACCGAGCTGTCCTCCTGAAAACAGAGTACTAACAACGGCAAACTTTTCAAATGCTGCGAATTAATTCGTTTAAAATAAAAAACTGATGAAAACTGATTCTGCATGCTCAAATATATCTTTTTTTATTCCATAATTAATTTTTCATTCAAAGATGCTGGTGCTTTGACTACCCATATGTTTTATATTTCATCAGTGTTGTCAGCCAATGTTGTTTGGTTAATTAAATAAGACAAGAAAAGGCAAAAGCCAAAAATAAGGGCAAGTAGTTTGTTTTAAAAACACCATAAATGTCAGATGACATACCATAAGTATATTAGTAGTTTTCAAATTTCAGACTATACGACGTGTTTTCTTTTAATGAATGGTTGTTTTCAACTGTTCATGTCAGCTAGTCATGGAGAAAACAAATGTTACTTGCCTGCAATACCTTATTGAATTTAGTGAGTAACTGTCATTTCTGTCAAAATGACAGTATTGTTAGCTGGCCAGCAGTTGAGTAAAGAGACTACTAAGGCAACGATTGACTGCTGATGCATTCAGGTGCTTCAGGACCATATGTGTCCATTAACTGAGAAGACTATCTAAATATTTATTAAATCTTGATTATAATTAGAAATACCAAATCCACACCATAATACACAAATGGTGCCTGTCTCTGCACTATAACAATACAACTGCTAATTAATATGTGTTCATTTACTGGAATGGTAATGTGGCATCTGCCTGTTGCCCGTATGTAGGAGGACAGGCTACCTTGAGTTTAGAGTTGGCATTGAGCATGATGTATTTAATAGATCCCTGAATGTTCTCGGTCCAGCTGGCCAGCCATGTCACAGTGTTGTCATGACGAACCTCCTTCCATTTGTGACCAGCAGGCGCCACAGGGACACGGGATCCTCTGTCAGAGAAAGAGAGAGAGCAGGAAAGAGGGTGTGTGTGAGTGTTGGAGTACAAGCTAGAGCATACTAAGAGACTCAAGTCAGAACTATAAACTAAACCCAGAATGATGGGAAAATAAAGAGCCACTTTCCTTTAAGTCCGGCAATCTGTTGCTACAATGTGCTAGACACAGCATTTCGAAGCGCTACCAATTTAGAGATGCTGAAATTGCCTTTAATTGTATTTACTGTTGACTTTGTCGTATTGTATTGCCCTGTTTGTGTGTGCTCTTATCTTTATAATTTGTTATCAGTAATACTACAGGAAAGCGATAACCCCAAAAGCGTAATAGGGCCTCTTTAAAAAGTTTGATAGATAGTCTCTAAAAAGGTCTTTGAGAAGAGCTGATCAGATGATGCATTGATACTGAATTAAAATGTTTCCAATACTCATTTGCTTGCTATTCTGCCTGCTATTTATGAGACACAGCTGGATACACACACACACACACACACACACACACACACACACACACACACACACACACACACACACACACACACACACACACACACACACACACACACACACACACACACACACACACACACACACACACACACACACACACACACACACACACACACACACACACACACACACACACACACACACACACACACACACACACACACACACACACACACACACACACACACACACACACACACACACACACACACACACCCCTTACCAAGCACTGCAGAGTTTTCCACATTAAATGAACCTATAGACTTTATATCAACCTATAGGCCGACATTTGTAACGGGTCAAACATGTCCTCTGTGGTTAGCCAATCAACGTTTAAGTCTCGACATCCTTACTACTGTGAGTGAATAAGTGATGCATAATTAAATCTCTTAAGTAATTTACTGCTTTAATAAACCATATTTCGGATTTCCCTTAAATAAATTATGTTAATTGTGCACTGCTCTCACTTCATGCAGTTGATGATGACTTGCTTTGGTAGGATCCTTGTCTTCAGCATGCCCTGTTTGGGGTGCTCTCCTCTGCCCCGGAACAGCCCCGGAGGCTCAATCTTAAAGTTGCCGATGCGCTCTTTGTGGTGGTCCAGCAGACAGTAGCCATACTCATCAATAATCTTCTGGTTGGCCTCTTTCACAGCCTAAAACCAAAAAGATATGAGTTATCCAGAACCTAAATGATCCATGCTGACCTTCTTTAGACACCAGGAAGGACAGTACTGTGAGTGATGGAGACAACAGCATTCAAATACACAGTACAGATTAAAAGGCCAGCATGTTACCAGTTTCTCCTCTTTGGTCATGAGCTTCCTGGCCTCCACCCTGGCTTTATGCATGGCGAAGAGCTCTGTAAAGTTACATTTGTCCAGATCTTTGATCAGTGTCCTCTCCTCATGGGTCATTTCCTAAAGAGACACAAGCACACATATTCAACACAGAGTATGGCAGGGCTTCAAGAGTCTTCTTGAGTGATACATGTATAAAAACAGGGACATCTTTTAGTGATAAAAAAAAGAAATGTAATCAGCAACAAAAAAATGGTATACTAAATGAATCTTTCCTTCTTGTGTGTGGTATCTCAATGTATACATCCAAGTGTCTGCTGCTTGACTTCTCAGATGAATCTAATGAAAATAATTAGAAATAGCAACCCAAGCTGGGTCACTTAGAAATAATTGCGTGAAACTCGTTTTGTGCGAGGTACTTGGGTACGGAATACCTCAAACTTGTATTGAACTATATTTGGGAAGTATGGATGGAACTATACATGAAGAAGATAAATATCTGGTCAATATTCTCCATGCTGCTGGAAAGAAGGATATCACTCAGAACTGGCTTAGGATTGATGCACCAGACATTGCAAAACATTAGTGATATTCTAATAATACAGAAACTCACTTAAAGAGCCTGTGACAGCATCCCAACAACTGTTGTGCAATGAAATATTGGGCTACTAGTAATCTCGAACCGTCAGTTTAAAAAAGAAGTTGCGATACCGTTCCGTTAAATATCAATAATTTCGAACATCGCGGGGAAATTCCTTCGACTCATTTTGAAGTTTTGGGGGAAGCCGGAAGTGACGTCAATGCGGGAACGCTTCACTGTGCGGCGAGAGAGCCAAACACGGACAAAGTGTGTTGTCATGCGTAGAAATGGTGAATTACTGAGTTTAGGCACGTTACTAACGTTTTAATGAAGTTGACTACAGTATATTCATATTTGTCAGTGCTTTCATGTCAATTCGGCGAACATAAACATACATGATCGTGGTGAAGATGATGATTACATTAGGATTACAAATCGGTAGTGAGAGCTGCTGAATTTCCTCCCGTCGGATGTGATATAAAAACAAATCGATTATTTTTGTAGTTGTAAACTCAAGTGGATGAAACTACATTTATTAGTGCTTTCATGTCAATTCGGCGAACATATGATAGATTAAATGATCGTGAGAATGATGATTAAAAATCGTTTGTTTGTGCCGGTCTGCATTTCCTGATGAGAAAACAAACCGATGCTTTTTGTAGTTGTAGTACACCGACACAAACGTGTGTTTTTTTCACCACAATGTTGGGGAAATTAATGGATAAAATGCACGGATTATTATTATTATTATTCCCACTCCGATCGGGACACTAGGTCCACCGTTTCCCCGCAGCGAGGCTCCCCCCGTTGACAGTTTACGTGGGCTGGGTGCAGTGGCGGACTGCCCATCGGGACCAATCCCGATGGGCCGGTACCGAAGTGGGCCGGTACCGAAGTGGGCCGGTCGGATAAGTCACGAGCACATCCCCCATAGGCGGCGCATGAGGCTCAGATTTGGGAAGGCTAAATAACTTTTTTTACGCCTCCGGCGTCTATAGAAAAGAGATCAACTCAGTGTGCGGAGTTTAAATCTCTCAAGTCATATTACAGGATAAAGGAAATACAGTTTAAACTGCCGTATGCAGAGAAGACGCCGACGTGTCGCACTTATCATTCATATTACATCATCAATCAGATCATCGATCATATAATATCATAATATATCATATATTTCCTTATCTGCCGTGTCTGGCCGTGCAACACTTACAGTGTCACATACTGTATGCAGAAGTATTATTTTAAGAAACACATTATGTTGACGAAACACTCGAGTCAAATGTAATTAAAGTCAGATCCACTTGTGTCTTAGACGTGAACGCGCTCTCAGCTGGTGAGAGAAACCCTGGCTTGATTTACCGAGTTGATAACCAGCGTCGTAGGACCGCTTAGCGAGATCTCGTTTGTTAGTTTGTTGTTGTTAGTTTGTTTGTTACTCAAACATATCCAGGGTCTGTTGAACTGGCTTCGTAGTACAGGGCACAGGTGGCTAGCAGCGCTAATGTCAAAGACACAGACATTGCATTATATTTGTATTTTACCAGGATGCAGTGACACAAATATTTACATATTTACATTTACTATCTACAGCACCCGCCGCCCCTGACATCCCCCACTCCCCCCGTTGACAACTTACTAGCGGTACCGAAGTGGGCCGGTCGAGAGTCCCGGGATGATTTTTAGTCCCATTCCACCACTGGCTACATGACCGTATGATCGCCCATATTGACGCACCTAATTCCTAAACTTCTAACAGATACAACATAAACCGATCCTTCAGCCTCATGAGCTCTCAGACACGTTCAAAATTAAACTGTCATCGCTGTCTGAGCTTGCTGCTGTGTGCACCATCGTGCGTTTACATGCAGATGCTGGGATCCTGAACGGTGCAGCTGGAGCGCTGTGCCCGCAATGACGTCACACATCATTTGGCGGGACTTGAAGAATCCCCGAGCAGATCCAGGAAATGGTCAACATTGAAGGGCAGATTAATGGTTATCAAAGTACAAATATCCAAAATCAGTTCAGTAACGGTTTTCAAGGGGACAATATTTACTCAAATTGATGGGTTTGGATGATGGGGGAAACTCGTGTCACAGGCTCTTTAAGTTATGGAAGATACACCTCTAAAAGGCTGGGGGAAATGGTTGGGATACATAACAAAAAGGAGGCATAAACACTCTGTACTGTTTGATTATAAAGTAGACTGTCCCCTTTCCGACACATTTCTCACGTTTCACTGTCGGTAGCAGTAGCCTATAAAGAAACCAATACAAGTAAACAAATAAAAGAATTAATTGCTTGAATAATGTCCACATTTCGCATATTCTTATCCACAGTCCAATTGTTATTTAGTATTAGAGCTGAGAAATACTGATAAAAGAAATGAAGTGTCCACTATATTGACCACAGAAAGAATGCACATTCAAACACTTCCTCTGTGCCGAGTCAGAATCCTGAGCTCAGGGAAGAAAGAGACAATTCTGCTGCTTTATACAATTTACTGGGAGCTATTTATACGCAACCTTTGTGCCTCCAATAGAGCATAATACAATAATAAATCATAAAACCAAATAAGACAAGCATGATCAAAGCACATCCGTGACCTTTTGTTTAATTGCTCATCCTTATGGAGGCTGAGCGGCAGAAAAGGGTAAAAAAGCTGAATCGTTATGAAAGGCCAGAGTAAAGCACATTCCCCCGAAGAACTGCAGTGCCAAGCGAGCTAAACAAACAGGCTTGACACAGCAGAGTGGAGCAGCTGAGTTTCAACTATAATTGTCAACTTTCTACTGTTATTGAACAAGGGGTCACCCCATCAAAGAGGTCAAAAACAGAGCGAGTCAGCGGGGGCTTTGTGCTTCATCACGGAAGTTTCTGGTGCTAAAATGTCAGGTCAACACGAATGGCTTTTGAATTGAATTTATGGGGAGGAAAGCTATTGAAACAGGAACTGGAGACCAGCAATTACTGTGTAGAGCAGGGGTGGGGAACCTTTTTCCTCTCAAGGGCCATTTCAATTTTTTCAACATCCTCCAAGGGCCGTACAAATTATTGAACTCAACATCAGCTTAAAAATACTAAAATCACAGCCCATTCATTTGGCTTTCTTTCATGCTGTGCAAAGAAAAAGCAACCTCTGAATCCAGATATCTCACCATGACTCACGTATGCATGCACGTGCACGGTTGTGGCATGACCACCGCCACAGAAAGATATGGACACATGATGTGTGCAAATGTATTTAGTATCCTATCCATGTGGACATTATTTAAGTGGGGGGGGACCTAACCTCCTCTAGGGAAGATTTTTTTTTAAATGTTGAAGTTAAAAGCATCAATCTGGTGCACTTTGAGAGCAACATTAGGAGATCTATGGATACATCTCTCAACATCCATATGAAACAGAACTGTAAGCAGATTTTATTTTTCTTTAAAAGAAAAACTGTATTCTTGTTTATTAATAACAACTTTTTTTTTACAGTCATATAGTATTTTATACCCGTTTACTTTATTCTCTTATTGTTTTATAACTATAATGATCATATAAAGATGTGCCTTTACCCCACTGGTTGGAGAAAAAGCTTCTTATATTCGTTAGCATAGCTAGCTAACCAGATGCTAATAACAACAAAGTTATTGACTGTATGATCAGAATGACAGATCGCCACTGGGCTTTCAACTAAAGACACAGCCACGCAAAAACTGCAGCATGTGTACGGCTCCTTATGGGTACTGCCATTTTTGGAAGTGGCGAAGTGGCGTTCTGGTGCTCTCCCTCAGAACTGCACCCCTGTCAGACGAGACATACCACGTGATGACACGTTAGGCTCGTGTTGTGTTCAAGGACCCTGACCGTGGCCAGGAAAAACAGGCACTCCCTTGTTTAATTTTTTTGCGGTCTAGATTTCTTACATTTTTGCGTGTGTTTATAAATTACCTCAAGGGCCGTACCAAATGGTCTCGCGGGCCGGAGGTTCCCCACCCCTGGTGTAGAGCAACAACTGTGTTTCAGGTGACGATGCGTACGGGCATGTTGTTCTCGAGCGTCAGATTCTAACAGCGATACATGTTTGTTTGTTTGTTTATTTATTTAAAGGACAGTGCACATTAATTCACATTACTGTAAATGAGCCAGTATTAGCCAGCAGGCTAATTTTCAACTGTTGTCCTTGGCAAGATGTTAAATGACCACAACAAGACTAGAACATATGTTACATATTGTACGTAGCTTTAATTGTGCAACTGTTTATATAAATATTTGAATTCTATTCCATTACATTTTATCTTTCATAGCACATTTTAATTTATGTTTATATTTTAATTCTATTTTATTTGATCTTTTATTCAACATTTTTTATTTTATTTTTTGTCTATCTTTTTTTCACATTATTAACTTTTCATTTAATTAGTCTTTCATTGAAAAAAAAATGTTTTGTTCATATTAAAACCTTTACTCGATTTTATATTATCTTTTTATTGTCTGTTCTTACTTCTTGTGTATATAGAAATATTAATACGTAATTTATTTATCATTTTTTAATTCTAAAATAAAGCAACTTTCATAGAACCCAATTTCCCTAAGTATAAATAAAGAACACTAATTCTGATAAACAATGAACCGGGCTTATTGAAGGACATCTTGATGTTGTGTTCACACATCGCTAATAAGTAAAACTGGCGAGCCTAATCGTTCTCAATTCAAATAGAAATCCCAATAGAAGAAAGACTTATATGGTCTAACCATAGACAAACAAAAGGGCGTCTAACCTGAAGAAATCCATTAAAGATAATAAAAGGAGTCATGGAGGAAGCTTCTCAGAGCAGCACTGATCCAGTCCACTGTCGCCTAGGTTCATATGAGAATCAAAAGCACACACACCTCTCCGACAGTGTGGACCCTCAGTCAGTGTGCGTATCTAAGCATGACTGACACCCGATGGTGGGCGGGCACTGAGGGCAGTGGAGCGAGGCGAGTTTTTTCCGGCTATAATAAAACAGTTTAATTGGATTTGTTCATATGCAGGGAAGCTACTTGTATGGATTAGCATATCAATGCCTTCACACAAATCGTATTTTCAAGTGCATTGAGCACTAAGCAGCGCAAAATTAATTCTGCATGATATGCCTCGGGGCTTGGCACGGTGCATTCTGCGCACAGAGGACATCCTGACAGAAGCCAGCGCAGGTACCAACACACACACACACACACACACACACACACACACACACACACACACACACACACACACACACACACACACACACACACACACACACACACACACACACACACACACACACACACACACACACACACACACACACACACACACACACACACACACACACACACACACACACACACACACACACACACACACACACACACACACACACACACACACACACACACACCACACACACACACACACACACACACACACACACACACACACACACACACACACACACACACACACACACACACACACACACACACACACACACACACACACACACACACACACACACACACACACACACACACACGTTAATTTCATCAGCTATTTTTTAATTTAGTTTTAGTCTTAGTCCTGTGTTAAATTTTCTTTTTAGTTTTAGTCATATTTAGTCACCTTCATCCTGTTTTTAATTAGTCAAGTTTTAGTCGACTAAAAGTTTGAGCATTTTAGTCTTATTTTAGTCAAAGAAAACTAATTATTTTAGTCTACTTTTTGTCAATGAAAACTGTTGAGTCTTTTTTAGTCATCAGATTATATAGAACATTTCAGTCAAACTAGTCTAGCCAAAACCAATAATTTGTCATTTTAGTATATATAAATAAATAAGATTATATCTTGTCCTTATTTGATGAAAAACACAGGTTGAATGATTAAAAGAATGCAGCTTTGCAGAGAGGATCTGCTCAGGTTTGTGGTGTTTTTACCAGCTGTGTTATGGCCACATTGCTTCCCTTCTGATAAAACAATGCATTCGCTTTTTTTCTCCGCCTCATTGTAGCGAAAATGGGCCCAAATATCACATCGTTTCTTTCTCCCAAGCAGTGGTGGCTTTAGACTTTTTCGTTGTCAGTCATTTTGACGGACAGGATCGTAACATTTCCGTCATAATCCATTATTATCCGTCGAGTGCACAATTTGTCTCTCACTCGCGCTGACGGGGGGGGGTCTTCGGTTAACGCGAGTGCGACCACTGCTCCCAAGCCCTGTTGTTGCCATTTTATTTTCTGTTAAATAAGGTTAGTTAGACCATGAGTTAGATCCGAGTCTTCCTGACAGTTCACAGTGTGCCGCTGCCCGGTGTAATTCAAATATACCGCCGCGCGCACCGCAGACACACACAGCTGCTGCCCAGCCGCAGCGCCGGAAATGGAACTGCTGGGAGAAAAACCGACTATCAGAGATGTAACGTTATCTTTGATAATATTTCGTCTCCTCATTTTTCGTCAACGAAAGTAAAGAGAGATTTTGGCATAGTTTTTATTTTGTAAACTACATTTTCGTCTCGTCACTTTTCGTCAACGATATTGCATGATGATTTCGTTACAGTTATTGTTTACTGCCGTCGGTGCCGTCTCGTCATCGTCTCGTTTTCGTCATGGAAAAAAAGGTCGTTGACGAACATATTTCGTCATAGTTTTAGTCAACGAAATTAACACTAACACACACACACACACACACACACACACACACGGAGCTAAAGACCACTGATACTGTACTTTGATGTCATCTAGATAGTGTTTCTGATTCCTCTGTAGTAACAGTTAGAGTAACTCCATTAAAAGCACTCGTCTACATGGAACATTACAGGTGTCAAAGCTCCCAGTCATGATTGTAGCAGCATCAAGGGAAATGTTGCCGGACAGAAAAACAATGGTTCACATTACCAAATGTCACATTGAAAATGAATGTTGTTTTATTTGAAATTGTAAAAGGGCTTGTTTTCATTTAAATGTCAAATTCACTTTATTTATTTTTTACTGAGAGGGATAAAGCTCTGAGCTGAAGGTGTCAGTTCAGAAGGTCAGTGAGGGGAGGCTTCTTTACCCCCACGAATTTAGAAGATCTATGCCTTTCTTTCTCGCCTTACCTTCCTCCAATCTGTAAAAAAGTTCTCCCGGAACACCTTCTTGGTGGTGTATTCATGGTCCAACATCTGGGCGAAGAACAAGCACACCTCCTCGGCTGCCAAGCTCAGCTTCACCTTATTCCCTGCACACAGAAAACACTTTTTTAATTTTATTTAACCACCAAGTTTTTTGGCCTTTCTATCCTAACATTGTTACAAAAACAAACTCAAAAAGGCCTCAGCTCCCGTGGAGTCCTGGCTGTCAGACTAATCAGTGAATTTATAGAAGCAAGGACAAAGATTTACATTTAGTCCCACTATAAAGAGTGAGCTGTACATGAGAGCACAGGAACTAACAAATCAAAACAACCGTTACACTGTTTTGGCTTTACTCATCAACAAATCAAAAGCAACATGTTATCAATCTGTTTGACCTAACACACCTTCAACACCCACTTCTTAGACATCTTTTTTTATGCAGTATGCAACTTTGTCCACTGTTCCTCTAAATCTGGTCCTGTTTTCTTTTGTTATTTAAAAGATTTGCACTTACATATTTCCAGCAAAACAACAGTATCATTTGCCTGTCCCATTTGATCCAAATGATACAAAAGAGGCCAAAGAATGTGGAGGGAAGGCTATGCAATTTCACTTTTTCTTGAACGTCCAACAGGCTGGATGTTGCTATGATGATTTTAAAGTCGGTTGTGTTTTGTAAGCACTGAAAGGAGGCGAGCGCAACAGCATAAAGCTGTGTTAATGAGAATAAAGCAGTGAATCGGAGGAATACAAGTTATTATTGGATTGTTTTACAGCTGTTATGCACAAATCAACATACACATCCACAAAGCACTGCAGGTATGTGCAATTATTTTGCTTTTTGTTTTAGAAATGTAAAGTTATGTGTATTTTTGGTGTATTGTTTTTTCTTATATTTGTCAAGGTATATTTTGATGATCTGTTGTCATCACATTTTTACTTTTGGTTTTATCTGCCTCCCCTTAAAGGTGGGGTAGGTAAGTTTGAGAAACCGGCTCGAGTGCGCTAGAATTTGAAAATACACAACCGTAAAAAATCTGCCACTTCCTCACAGAGCCCCTCCTCCAACACACACGAACGCACACATGACCAATGAGGGCACGAGATAAGTTTGTGCACAGATGGAAGGCTGACAGGCAGGTAGGCCATCCAGTTATTTTAGCCACGTCTCATATTCCATCTTGTTTCTCTTTCGATTGCTGGTTTTGTTTAAAGTTAAGTACAAAAGGTAAGGGAAAGAACCCACAAAAACCGTCCAGAAGTGATATTACTGAATAGTGCTTGAAGTGGAGCGATTTGCTTTGAATAGACTACAGCAGCGGAGAGGTACCAAGATATTTCAAAATTGCAGTCATGAGTGAAGACATGTGGAGAAAGCCTTTCAACTGCGTTTCAATCACCCTTTCTGACACATTTAACTTCTGTGCTCCACTCACCAGCATAGTAGAAGTGAACGTTGTCTGGCAGAGGCTGGTACTCGGGGGGGAAGCAGGGTCCATTGTGCTCCAGGAACTTCCATTTCACGCCATCTTCATACTTCTCCTCCTCCCACCTGACAGAAAGCAAGATGATGGAAAAAAAGTGAGTGAAAGCTTTCCGGTTGCCCCCCCAGGTAGTTTGTGTTTGAATGTGTGTGTCTTTCCCCCACCATCTCCAGCGACTCTTCTCCTCGTCCTCCTTCTTTTTGACCCTCGCTTCCGTGATTTCTTTTTTTGTCCTCTTAGGTTTTTCGGACACCGGGTGCTCTCCATCATCTTTCTTTACCGCCTGTGCCGAGAAAAACTCGCCATGTGAATTCAAACAACTCAAACTCCATCAAACTTCATAAAGCAGAGGGGGGTATTATTGATGAAGACAGATGACTTTGTGAAGACAGAGTGCTTTACCTTTTCTCTTCTCTTCTTTGACTTCTTTCTCTGATCTTCTCCAGCACTTTTTTCTTCCTGCCCATTTCTCTTATCTTTATTCTTTGATCTGCAGGCACCCAGAAGACAGACAGAATACTAGTAGTTAGTTATAATTATAATACTTACTGGAGGTGCATCATTTGGAAACAATGACAAGTTGCGAACATTTTGACTGACTCGCAATTTAGTGTGGAATGACACTTCTTCCTGCAGTGTGTTATATATATTTGTGTGCCTGTAAAGGGTCTGCAAAGGCTAAAATCCTCTGCTACACATTGTAAGTGATAGGCTATGGGTCAGGAAACCAATCAGAGCAGACTGGGCTCTGGTTTCAAACACAATATGGAGAAGAAAGGAAGACGGGAATCAAACATATGTGTTTTAGATAGCAAAACAACTTTCTACAAGTAAAAAGTGCTTTCCTTCCGGGCCAATCCACGGCTTAAAGAGCTGATCACACTTACGTGGGTGTAGCAGTGGAGTGTGAAGCGCCTTCTATGGGCTCATCCTTAATCCTCTTTCTTTTAATGCCTTTCTTCTTTGCGGCAAAGTCATCATCCTGTGGCTCCCGTTTCACCGATTCCCTAAACCCCAAAAATGAAGAGAGGACATATTAAGTTGTCGTCACTCTCATATTGTTAATGGTTGCTTTTAATAATGAGGAGTATGCCTTGTAATGTAAATCTATCTTGCCATATTTCAAAACACACAACATATAACAGACTGTAGCTTTGAAGCATGGAGTAAAATAACAGTCACCCTTTGAACTCTTGTGACGGTAACACTTTTTTAAAATTAGAAAATGTAAAAATATTTACAATTTAATCCAATTTCAATCCCCATTTCTTTAATTTCACTTGACCGAACATATTTTTGAAGATTTCATTGTGTATTTTTCTAAATGTGGTCTTAGAAGAGCCGACTTGGAGGCAGTTGATTTTGAATTAGCCCCTTTTCAACATGCCAACAACAAGGAAGAATAGAAGCTTAATGGCCCTTTTACACAGCTGTCTGCCACACTGCCAGCTACAGAATAAGAAGAAAATAACCCTACTATGTGGAATAGAGGGAAAAAAGATCCTTAAGCACACAAACCCAAAACACTGACCACAAGAAATCACACATGATTATGGTTCATTAGGGAACATTACCGACACTAGGGCTGTGCAATTTAAATCGATCCTGCGATATATATCGATATTTAGTTTTCCGAGAAAGTATCGATATTTCAGCCGCAGGTATCGATACATTAAGTCTGATAACTGTGTTCGTTATTCTCGCGTCCAGGAGAGAAGCTTTAAAAAGGAGACTAATTGAGTCTCTGAGAAGGTTCAAATGTATACTTTAATTAATAAAAAGCGCGGTAATGTTACAAGCAGAAGATGGTTCAGTCAGAAAAACAGCTGTGTGTGAGCGAAAGGAAGAGAGCGAGCTCCACCTTTCCAGCTGTTAAATATCCTCTGCTGGCTCCTCCCTGTGGGCTGGTTGGCGCTGCTGGGGGCCGGCCCTCCACGTCTCCAATGTTCGTTGTTGCGCATTACAGAGGATTCAGACATTGTACATTAAATATATAACTAAATACGCCTTTTCTCCTCCTTATCTCTTTCATGACTTTTCATTTAATACATTTTAAATGCTGTAATCAATACTCCAAAAATACCTCACGGCTGGTATCATTTCCGGTAGTTCCGAATGTTGTCTCATGCTACCCACGTCTGTAAACAAACGTATTCAAATAAACTGTACCTTCATTTAATATTCAGCAATAATAATATCTCGACGTCTATAGTTGTAGTGTTGAAATCAGTAGGTTTCGGTGTGCAACACTCCGTGTCATATCGCTACTAAATTCACCTCTATAGTAAATGGTATATTAGCCACATGCTAAATGCTAACCGGAGATGAAGGATTTTCAGAATAAAAGCTTAACAACTGATTGTGCACAATAACTTCTGGTTTTTCAGTATAAAACAGCATTTAAACTGACGGTATGTTTAAGGTACTTTATGCCATCAAAACATTGATTTTAATTTCTAACAAGTCCCATTCAAATCCCCCGTGTTCCGCCACCTGCTGCACCTTTTAATTCTCCATTGTGATACTGCACTTTATGTACTTACGTTTCAAAGGCTTGTAAGCTACAGTTTGCACTGTTTCAATAAATGAAACTAATTTTCTCACCACATCTTTTGATTCATTTTGTCCAGCATTTACAAGCTGTAGACTCTCTGTCAGAGCCATATATTGTATAATTGATGCTTTCAGTTTTCAGTTGAATTAATTCAATCCAAGTCAATGGAACACTCACAAGATGTCACCAAAATCACACTGTCCCTTTAAAATCTTTCAGAAAATGATATAAGTGTATCGAATTATATCGAATCGTATCGAATCGTATCGTTGGCTGAATATCGTGATATATATCGTATCGTTGGCTGAATATCGTGTATCGTATCGTGAGATTAGTGTATCGCTACGGCACTAACCGACACAGTAATGATAATGAGATAATTACAGCTATTAGAAATTAAAAGGAAATTACACAAGCTTGTATTTCCCTCCAGAGTGGGGAATCAGTGGGTAGGGAAATGCTCACATTAGGAAATCAACCAATTAAGAGTCACCACTGCTGCCAATAAATAAATAAGTCTCCTTTCCTGCAAATAGCAGTTAGGTAATTATCGAACTAGTTTACTGAACCCCAATTACAGGCAGCTAAAGTAACAATTACACACTTACGGCCCGTCCACACAGCAGCGTTAAAAAAAATCTTGAAAATCTTGGAGGTGGGCTTGTCTGAAAGCTTGGGGATTTTTTGCGAGCAACGCGACCAACAACCAATCACATGAATCTCCCGCCCCCGACATACAAAGCAATAGCAATGTTAAAACGAAGTAAACTGGATATAAAATCCCCAAACAGGCGAAAACCTACCAGTTTCACCCACTGTCTCTGCCACCTCCCTCCATGCCTGGTTCCTCCGGTTTGTATCCCTTTACGTTAATAGCGACTGGTCATAAAGAACCGGGTGATTTGCTACCGCAATAACTAACTTCTCCTCCATTTTCAGGAGTATAGAAAATGAACTGCGGTCTGGCTCTCTCAGCTTGCACGCGGTTTGATTGGCTAGCGCTTCTACTGTCAGATTTGTATAAACGGGATTTGATTGGCTGACGCTTCCACCTCAGCTTCAAAAGTTGAACATTGCTCAACTTTTGAATCCTGAAAATCCTGGAAATCCTGGAAATCTTCGCTTTGCTTCCCCACAATGCAGTTCGGCGAAAAGCGAGGCAAAGTGACGTCACCCCATTCAAAGTCAATGGGCAGAAGCGTTGGAAGATTTTTTTAACGCTGCTGTGTGGACGGGCCGTTAGTATGCTCCTAGGGAACTCTCTCAGCACTACATACTACAGTATGGCCGACCCCTGCTGGCTTTAGATTGAGAGTAATGAGCCTTCTCCCAGTTTCTCTGCTCTCTGACCACAGCTGAGTTTGGATTTAGCTTTGATTGACCTCTTTAGCAAATACATTTTGGACTTCAATGGATAAAACAGAGGTCAAAAAGGTCACAGGAATTTGAATTCTTAAAGAGGCCCTATACTGCTCTTTGGGGTTTCCCCTTTCCTGTAGTATGTTATAGATTTAAGTTTCTCTCCCTCACACTCCCCTCCCTGCCTGCAACGCCTTGATTGTAGTTCTTTGTTTACTGCCATGACATAGTGACATCACTACGTAACACTCGCGCTTCTATTGGCTAGCGCTCAAACACATTGTACGTAATAGGCGGGACATCTCTAAGCGGTCGACCAATCACAACAGAGCCGGCCAGATAACCAATCAGAGCAGACTGAGCTCTGGTTTCAGACAGAGGGTGAAAGGAGGTGTTGCAGAAGAGGCAGTATGAGGAAAATAAAGAGCTTTTTGAACATTAAAGAATGGAGACATGTCACAGTAGAGGTACAAATTACAAACTTAAAATGAGCATAATAGGGCCCCTTAAAAATAAGATAAAAGGCAAGGTAAGTCTTAATTGAATTGAAACTATTGTGAATAGTCACATTAATGATGGCAGTTGTACAAACAAAGAAAAGACGGTGAGAGGTGGTTACATTTTCATGTCATCACTGAATCCATCACCTCTCATTTTCATTCTATTTCTACTTTTGCATTTATCCAGCAACTCCAGTGCAATTTTAATGTTGAGCCCTTTTGATATACACATGGTACATTTTCTTCTACCCAGCTCTTTACATTACATTGCTCTTAAGTGCATGAAAACTTTATTTGGGATTTCAGTGTCAACTACCCTTACACAACACAAACAAGTGCATTCAAACTTAGAGTGCTTATTCCAACTTGCATGTCATTATTCATGAAGACATCGAGCTGACAGAAATAAAAATCTCCCTTTTTTTACATTTAAGTGCGGCAGAATATGGGCCAAAAACAGACACATTGAGTAAATTGGTTTCAACAGGTCCCATTTGCATAAGGCTTTGTGCGTCAGCTCCCATCGGGGACGGAGGGATTTTTTTAATATGACATGTGAATGCAGAAACCCTGCTGCCTGCCTCCAGGTGTCACGGTCACATTCATGCTGACACATCAACGCTCTTAACATTCACAGTAGGCAAACTACTTTTGAGCCAAGTTATTTTTATATTCAAAATAAATTACACATTTGGGAGACGCCAATGTGAAACTCTCTCCATGTTTTCTTTTTTGTTTACTTTGCTAACTTTAGAGTAGTGATCCAGTCTGATTTCATAGACTGGAATCAGGGCCAATCAAGGTGATTTTTTAAAATGATCTGCATCAGCCTGATCCGATCCTTTGCTTAACGTCAGCTGTCACACAGCTGTTTTCAGTCGAGCAGCATGCATGCCCAGTATTGCAACGGGTGCAGAATGAATCCCCAACGGGAGGGTTTCAGACTTTGTCTCTCCTCTACTACACTGAGCTCCTGTGTGTGTAAGAGCAGGTGCTGCACTTTGCACCCGGAGAAACACGGCCAAACATAAACGACAGCATTACGCAGTATAAGACTGTTTATTTATGTTAGCTTATTTATGTGAAGTCGTTTGCAGAGCCATTCCATTGTCTAGCATATATATTGGATCAATTTGAATACTTTTAATATACTAAAGAGTGCACTGTGCAACTGTATAATCTAGGAACTGGACTTGGACTTGCGGCAGGCGGGGCTAGGGATTCAGACAGTCCTTCTTAAGTGTGGGCTGTTGTCAAGCTGTTGAGTTCAAGTGCTCAGTGTGGAGAGAAGGAAAAAAAGAGTGTGAAGAAACGGTCATATTATTTTGATATAATGCATCACTGAGCACAATCCATAAAAAGCTAAACAAAAGGAGGTTGGGTCACTGCGCCCATTGACATTTACGGTCAGTGCTTCTAATAGCCTTATGTTTCTTCTGTAACTCTGCTGCCCCTAACTTTCCTCCCTGCATGAAACCTACTCAGCTAGCACAGTTGCCACCTGAGCCTTTCTTCAAAAGATAATCCCTATGGGAGAAACATAAAAAGACAGGATTTAGCACTTTTTCTAACCAACATTTCCTTTAAAAGGTCT